TCGGACATTAACCGGTCTAATCGCTTGGGACGTCGGTTTTTTTCTCATTAATTTAAAACTCGTTCTCGTTTAACTCTTTCAGGTACCGAACATTTACATAAAAAACCCTAGCAGTACAAAGAAAAAACGTATTCCAAAAATAAATATTTTATACATTTTTCTAACAGAAGATACATCAAAACAAACACAGATAAATTTCAAACAATTAGACCTATTGTTATAAACAAAATATGGTGGTTTAATATCAACACCACAGTACCTGAACTTTAAAAAATACTAATTATGGTAATTCTGAAAACAAGTTCCTTCAATTTTGTTTTGTTTGTACTAATGAGACATATATAAACACTATATATAATAAAAACTTAAATTATAATAGTATAATATGCAACAAGTGCGGTAAACGGCATTTGTCTCGCGAGTTTATTTGACACGAGCGGAGCGAGTGTTTAATAAACGAGTGAGTTAAAAAGTTTACAGAACGTGTTGCATACTATACTTTTTCTTTTTTGGGTACATTTTCGCAAAATACATTCACTGACATGACTGTCAGAATTGACAAACGTCAAAATTCAAAGCGTGGGAAATATCTCCGAAAACATCCGATTGCTCCCAAACGCGTGCGGTAAAATCCCGGAAATGTCCGAAGTGGCTCGGATTCGTGGGAAACGAAACTGACGCGGTAAAGCGGCGCTTCCCGCACGCTAGATCGGTGCGTTATTAGGTATTTTACAGACGGGAGTAGAAAAATGTATTTACCGACTAGTCCACTAGATTTAGTAGTGTATAATGTAGTATAGTGTATAATGTAGTATTTAAATTGTCTGATATATTACATAACATAGTTTTTAGATACATTTTTGCAAAATAACACCAATCAAGTCACTGACATGACCGTCAAAATTGACAAATGTCAAAATTGAAATAGTGCGGTAAAATCTCCGAAAACATCCGATTGCTCCCAAGCCCGTGCGGTGAAATCGCGGAAATGTCCGAAGTGGCTCAGATCCCTGGGAAACGATACTGACGTGGTAAAGTGACGCTTTCCGCATGCTCAATCGGTGTGTAATTAGGTATTTTACCGTTAGTTTTTCGGTACATTTTCGCAAAACAACACGACTACATTCACTGACATGACTGTCAGAATTGACAAACGTCAAAATTCAAGGGGTGGGAAATATCTCCGAAAACATCCGATTGCTCCCAAACCCGTGCGGTAAAATCCCGAAAATGTCCGAAATGGCTCGGATCCGTGGGAAACGAAACTGACGTGGTACAGTGACGCTTGCTAGATCGGTGTGAAATTAGGTATTTTACAGACAGGAGTAGAAATTTTTCATTGTCAACTGGGGGGATTTTTCTAATAATTTATTTGCATTTACAAGCGCTTAGTCGATAAAGAAGAAAATATTCATTTGTGACTTTCTCTATCCATACCATGTGTAGCCATAAGCTGATCAAATTTATCTACAAAAATCATGTTCTTATTATAATCCCTGCGTGCCATCTTTTTCCTTTCTTTTCACCTCAGTGCTTGAAGGCGGATTGTCCTAATTTGATTTCTAAAATACTAATCGAAAACACCCCTTTTTAGCTCTTTATCTGCGTTAAATTTAGTTAAAATTGTTGACGAAGCTCTTCGATTAGTGGTACACCATTGTCAAATATGACTTTAAGCTTTACGTTTGCTGTTTCAGAAGTCATATTTTTAACTAATCGTTATGTTCAACTTCATTCCTGAATTTTCCTGTGTAAATTTCAAAATATAGGCCCAGATGAATCAACGAACATCAATACTTCGTAACCCCGTTTTTATAGGCTTTTTGGGCATATATTGTTTTATAGAAACACTATATATAGAAATAGAATTTGATCATCGATTTATCCACCGCTACATTCTCATATGGCTGAAGACAATTTCGAAGTTAGTTCTTAGGGAATCCAAAAACGACATTGCTTTATGTAATTTGTTACAATTAATTGTACCACGTGCCGGAATAAACACTATTGTCGTTGATGTCAACATGTGATAGGAGCCCATTGGGAGCTTGATTCCCAAAATTGGGGTTAGTTTTTTGTTTGTACGGTAATAAATAGTTTAAAAGTATCTGGGGTCCGGAATATCTCTGATAAACTGCGGCAGTCCGGTATTTTCACTAAATGAAATCTGTTTTTGCGTTTTCAATTCTGCTGCTAACCGAGCTAATGGCACTAAATCTCCTGCATCCCACTCAGAATCTGAATCGTCCGAGAGACTGAGATGACGTACCCAGGTTCAGGTTCTTCTTTATCGCAAACTAAACTAGTGAAAACATCCGCATCTTGATCAATTTCATCGCTACTATCATTTTCTGTATCTAGTGAGGTAAGATAATCATATTGGAATTTCATCTACTCAAACTAATATTCAATTAAATGAAGTATTAATTACGTTTTGTGCTTTACTTGTGGAGGGGCAAATTTCAACGCCGGCATGATGGTTTATTATTTACCCCACCGTACCTCAAGGCGCTAAAATTGGTGGTTCAAATTGTGACCCACCGTACGTGACAGAGTTGACGCTAGATATGTTTTTTTTTATTACTTTGATAACACGTTAAACAAAAAAATATATATGCAGGATTATAAACTTGCTCACTTAAATGTAAAATCACCGTTGCCAAAATTCCGAGGTTTTAAGCAGATTGTGCAATGCGGGAACTAAGATGTGGTGGCAGTATTTGAAACGTGGCTTAACGGCGACGTTGATTTCATTGCCCGGATATAGATTGGTAAGAGATGATAGAGTAGGTAGGGGTGGTGGTGGGATTTATTTTAAAACCGCTCCTGATGCAGTTATTGTGTCTGTGGAAAAACATGTTGGATTTGAACAAATTTAGGTTCGATGTAACGGTGTTTCGGCATACACTTGAGGATTAGCTTCGCTCCAAATGCGGCAGTTTTGTTTGCCGTAGCCATTCAACCAGTGCGCTTCATCGCTCAACAAAATTCGCTTATGAAAATCGGGAACAACCGCAATCTCGTTTTGGGCCCATTCGACGAATCTACGCCTTACTTGATGATCGTTTGGCTTCAATTCTTGCACGAGTTGGATTTTGTAAGCACGTAAACCAAGATCCTTCCGCAAAATCTTCCATAAAGTGGATGGACACAGATCCAATACCTGTGCTCGATGGCGGATGGACTCATTCGGGTCTTCCTCACTGCTACGCTCTACAGCAGCAATAGCTTCTTCTGTACGCACCGTACGGAGTCTCTGGCCATAACGTTCCATGGTTAATCGAATTAACTGCTCTGATGGACGTTTTTGTTAACGATAAAATGGATGTAGTGCGCGATACGTATTCCGCACAGAACCATTATTTTCGAAATTAAATTGCACTATTTGCAAGCGTTGTTCAGGCGTGACTCTATTCATGATGAATTGCCAAACCAAACTGAGAATATCACTTGACAACTGTTAAATCGGTCGCCATCTTGAACAGTAATGCCAACTTAAAGTTCTATACATCGAAAAAAAAACACCCATTATATGGTGCGGAGGCGTCTTTAATATTAGTTTATTAGATATACATTCAGCCCAAGTTACAGATTTAGTAAACATTTTGGAATCTTCTAGCTTAAAACAAGTGGTGGAAATTCAGATACTCAATATTGTTACAACAATGAAGTCCAGAGCGGAGGGTGCTGACGGTATTGGAATAATGGCTTTGCACGGTATTGGAATAATGGCTTTACAGCTTTGCTGTCCATTCGTTCTACCTTTCCTCACTCATATTATTAATTTTTGTATAGTAAGCTCAGTCTTTCTGGAATGTTGGGAAAAAGATCTAGTATCGCCATTGCCCAAAGTTTCCAACCCCAAAAGTTTCAAAGATTTAGGCCCAATTAGTGTTTTACCGTGCTTGTGGAAGATACTGGAGAAATGCATAAACATCCAATTATTCGATCGTATTGAAAATAACAACATTCTTCCTGAAACTCAATCAGGCTTCAGAAATAATCATAGTTGCGCTACAGCACTGACTAATTTAACAGACGATATATTGAGAGCAACAGACGAGGGTAATCTCACGGTGCTGGTTTTATTGGATTTCTCGAGAGCATTCGATATTACAGATCATAAATTGCTTCTGGCAATTCTGCACCATATCAGCCTTAATAACACATCGATAATTTTTTATCAAGTAGATCCCAGTGTGTCAGAATCGGATCTGTATTATCAGAGCCACTGGTCCTCTTTCGAGTCGTTCCGTAAAGATCAATTCTTTCTATACATCAGGTCTGCCAAATCCACTAAAAAAGTGTTTTGCACAATTTTACACTGACGATACGCAGGTGTATCTGTCGTTTAGTAGGGGGAGCGTCTGGGAGAGCTGTGGAATTTTGAGTAGGGAGCTGAATGCACTGAAAGAATTGTCTTTACAGCACTGCCTCCTTCTGAATCCCCGAAAATTTTGCTTATTATTATTAGGACGTAAATTGACAGTGTTGCCTATAAAGAAGACTGCCTAATCTCTGCTTAGTATTTGATGTTTCTCTTAGATTTACCGCTCATATAAATAGTTCTTGTCGAAGAGCTTATGTCAGAATAAGAATAGAATAATAAACATCACTTTATATCAAAAAAGGTAAAGACTTTACTATCCTTATTCAATTACTCTGATGTTGTTTACACAAATTGTTTAAACAGTTCTGATAAAAGAAAAATTCACTTAATTCAAAATTCAAGTCTTAGACTTATTCATGGAATAAGGAAGTACCAGCCAATTTCACACAAACTCTTTGAAACAGGATGTCTTAGCATGGAGAGGAGGAGAGAATTACATTCTATTTGTTTTTTTTATAAAATTTATATAAGTTTTTCTAAATTACTTACCTATATCACTGGATTCCTTCACACCTCTCTCATTATTTGATCCAGCGGGTTTTCTAGTTTACTTCTAGCGTTCAGTCAGTTAGCAGTTGGTTAGTTTAAAATATCTGGGTGGTGGTTTCAGTAACGAAAATGGGACCCAGGCCGTCGCTGATACCGGACCCGACCCTAACCGATCAACAGTCTCCTTCGGCCGACGAGAAGCCTCCCGGAGGTCAGCAAGTACCTCCGGCCGCTACCCCGACTCCGAAGCAAGAACCAGGGAAACCACCCAGTCGCGCTGGAGCATGCAGGGTATGTCTGAAAGCCTTCAAGCCTGACGATTTCAGCAGGACCTGCGCCACGTGCACTCAGAGGGTGTGCGAAGACTGCGCGAGCTATAGCAAACTAGCGGAGAACGAGAACCAGGCGAATTGGACTTGCAGCGTCTGTCGAAGGTGCTCCCTCTCAATCCCGCATCATGTCGCCGAGTGTCACGTCGTGTCCTTTCAGAAAGATGCAGTCCAGGACGGTGCTGACGCAGGACTCCAACGAAAGCCTGCTGGAAATTCCGCTGCAGGAGTTGCAGAGGAGGCACTCGGAGGCGAGACTCGGCTCGTCTGGTAGCGGACTGACGGTGGGCGGGGTGGGCAGCGGACTCGCCCCGCCCAGGAGTCCGGAATTGAGGAGGCACTCGGACGTGTCACCCGCTTCCCTTAAAGAACTCGAGAAGGTAAATATTTTTTAATTTTAAAGTCATAACACGCGACTTTGTGTGTTATATGTCCATTTATAGAGAATTTATTGTAAAATAAAGACCATGTCCGGCATTTTTCGGTAAGGCTCGTATTTAACAGTTTAATACATAAGAGTTTGGACGACTCTGGGTCTTTACTGCTTCCTTATATGTGAATAAATGCATACAACGGATGGAAAAATGCGTTGACAATATATTCCGGGATATCATCCGTTCGTTTTTGGAACTCCGACTGGAATACTGCAGACGTTTCGCCAAGATCTTACTTGGCATCTTCAATATTCGCGCTCCGAAAACACTTCGAACACTGGGAGGTTATCGGCTATGCGTGCGGTATTTATAAGCTGCGCCAAAGGTGTGTTGCTTCTGCGGGAGGGGAGACGGCTCCGCCCCCCGAATTTTTGCGCTGTTAATTTCGCCCGATCGTAGTTGCGATGTCCCCGTTGGCTGCTTCGTATCGCTCTGCCGTTTGATTATTGTTTTCCACGTATTGGATAAATGCAGAGCGTGGTCTCTCGTATTTAGGTGTGCGGACTTTCCTATCTCTATGGGCCCTCTTATAATCCGTTAGCTATTTGTTTACAATTTTATAGCTTGTCTGATGTTGGTGCTGGAATAAAGCAGATGTTGTTTATTTCTTATTGCTAATCAATGTTCCTCGAGCCTGGCTGAAATACTCCTATTGATCTGTCGCATGTATGTCAAGCTGCACGATCCGTTAGCCACACTATATACTCGTTAGTTTTCCAAAGTAATTTTTTTGTTTTGGGTTTCTTAGTATTGCTCCAATAGTATGATCCGGTTTATATGCCGTAGATATCTCCGTGTATCCATAAAATCCGGCCGACTCTGTCAATAACCCTCTTGATGTATGACAGAACAGCGATCGATCTCTGTTGGGTTTCGTCCTGCACTCTCTGTTGCGGCTGCTGTTCTTTACTTATTGCCCTGCCTATGGTGGAATTAATATACTTGCCACTGCCTGTATCTGTGATGGGTGGTGGTGAGACTCAGCGTTCAGATATCTATTGGTGTGTGTTGGTTTTCTATAGACAGTGTGTTCCAAGTATCCACCATCGGTCCTTGTGATTGTACATCTAGAAAGGAGAGACTGTTATTCTCTTCAAGTTCTATTCTGGAATTAGAATGGTCTAGGAATTTCAAAAGCTCGTCTTTGCCAAAAAACCCAGATGTCCCAGACCTCGAATATCTCAAAAAGTAAAATTTAAATATAAGATAAATTACAAACTCGCCATATTTTTTGTCCTCGAATGGATATTTGCATAAAAGGCACCACCTATTTGGGACACCCTGTATAAGCTGAAGCGTATTTGTCAAACCGATTGAGTGAATTTTGGTTGCAATATCCCTCGTAACAACACAATTTTATATGGGGCAATCAAAATAAAGAAAAAAACACATAACCTCTGCCTGAACTATGCCAAATCCGAATAGCAATTTCTTAATAAAGTTACTTGTATTTTAACCAAGGATTCCAAAAATGTCTAAATATTCTATTGTGTTCTATTTAAAATAACAAAGTTGACTATAATATTTTAAGTCTTCAGTAGAGTCCATGAAATTTTTGTACAAAACTTGTTTTCGCATCTTCTATAGTGGATATACCTACCCCTCCAATATCGTATCGTACGTCGACACTAGCGTAACATGTGTTGTATTGTAGCGTCATGGCGGCAGTATTGTACGGCGAAAATTCCGGGGTGTTAAATCGCGGCGGTGGGGGGTTGGGGTGAGGAGGGCGAGGTCCCTAATTCGAAATTTGCTCGCTACTTAAACCTGGTAATTACGCGGGCGTTCACGTTGTCGGACTAACTAGATAAATAATGGACAAAATGAGTACACTGTTAGGCTAATCCAAACAAAAACAATTAAGGGCGGAACCCACTGATACGACGGTGTTGAATTTAATACGAAAAAATACAAACGAGAAAACGAAACTCCATTTTATATAGTGTAATATTTCCTCTGGGAATTCTAGAAATCTTTAAAAGCTGTCAAACATTGCCCTTGTAATAATAATAATAATAATAAATGATCTTTATTTCCAAGCATAATTACATTGATAAAGTGGCATTTACAATGCTGGTCCTATTTGTTTTGAATAAATCCATAGTATTCTGCTACACTGTATGGTTCTATATCTACGAGTAAATTAAAAATTGTTCTCTTAAATCTCTAATTGTTTTTATGGTGTTCGGCAAACTATTATAACACCTAATACGTACCCTTCTCACTCATAGCCAGTCTGTGCCAATTCAATTCAACAATAACACTGGAAGAGTCCAGTTTCGTAAATAATTAAAATTCGGCCTCTTCTAACGTCAAACATCGTTAAAGTTTTTACTTATTTAGTATTATCAATTCCTTTAAATCCTTTAAAAACAAAAACTGATCAATTGTTGAGGACATTTATTCATATATCGGGTTGGGATAAAGATATTGAGATGCGGGTCTCACCAGGTTGTTTTACTCGCAGTCTGAAGGCTCTTTCATAGTCCTTGCGTCTAGTTCATATCGAAAAACCATGTAGAGGACACAAAAATACAAGAAGAAGAATTATTTTCGAACTTACCTGTAAGATAAATAGAGTATAGGTACTTACCCTGACCCTTTGATTTATATAGTGATAACAGCCTCGCACGGCCAAAGCTCGTGAGTCAGGTCCAAAAATACGTACTTACTGGAAGGATCACAGTCAAATATCTCCCTGATATATACGAAAATATTGCAATTTCGATTAAACTCTTAATAACGATACATATCACCTCATCTTCGATCCGTCAATAGAGTCTATAAGCAACCTAACAATCTTAACCGTGACTCAGGTCTCTGCCTGTCACCAATATGGGAATCAGTCATCCGAGATGGTATTTATGCCCCTAATTTAGCTCCGCCCCTCAAACAATATAAAAGCAGGTACAGAGTAAAATACGAGTCAGTTTCAGTCAAGCTCTGAAGAAGACCGCAGGATGATTGGCGAAATGTTAGCTAGTTCGATTCAACAAAAACCGACGGTGAATCTCATTCAAGACCTACTAAATGCTGTTGGGATGGGTTTTTCCATGGTCCCGCGAAGATCTGCGGTAATATTAATGCGTTATTACAAAAGGGTGATCCGCCTTAATTTGCAATTCGACGTTATTCCAAGTGTCGGAATGTGCGCGTAGGTCTTCTGTGAACAGAATGACCCAACATTAGGTCTGATTTTCTGTCGCTAAGAATGTCTAAGAATGTACTAAAGTATGTTAGGGTGTATCGAGATTCTATCGAAAAATACTATGACCTGCTTCTTCCCCAGTTGAAGGGAGGCGGTAACAAAACCCCCGACCCGAACTGGAACAGAGGCGGCGGACGCAGTACCGCCGGCAGCCGCCAAAACAGCCCCCCTCGCGATATCACCGCCCCCGGCCAAGTTTCCCGTTCCCGGAGGCCTTCGAGGGTCGCCCGGCAACACAGCTACGATGACGAGGTGAAAAACGCGATGGCGGCTGGCGGGGGCGGCGCGGCCGCCGCCCCCGGAGAGACCGGCCTCGGGTTACCCGCCCCTATACCGCGAAGGGCGTCGGCCTACGACGTGTTTTCAGGTACGACCGCCGCACCAATGACCCAAAAAAATATTTTTCTACTCCCGTCTACATGTGCTGGAAGCGTCACTTTACGGCGTCAGTTTCGTTTTCCACCGATCCGAGCCACTTCGGACATTTCCGGGGAGCAATTGGATGTTTTCAGAGATTTTATCTCACGGTTTAGATTTTGACGTTTGTCAATCCTGACAGTCTTGTATTCGTATGTTTTGCAAAAATGTACCCAAAGTCAACAATTAAAATTACAATCTAGTTGAGTAGTCAGTAAGTAAAGTGACATTAATAATTTAAGTTCCCCACAAAAGTTTTACATCCCGTTCACATGAACTATAGAGTGGTTTTTACAGTTTTCATATTAATATCTTGGCAAGATCAATTGTGCCATTTTCAAATATCAACAAAGCAATATCGAAGGTTAGGGCCTGCTATTTCTTGCTTACACGATGTTAAAAATTTAATCCTCTTAAATGAAACATTTGACAGCTCTCTTCTTTGGTTCCAAATACAGTCTTCGGCTTAAAATAAACTAGTTAATGATCAGTTTTAAACGTTAATTAAACAACATAACTCTCTCTGTCTCAAATACTCAGTTAAAAAGAGACAACAATAGCAAAACCGAACGGAGCGATGAACGAATAGGTTTAATGGCAACTAGTAAACATAAATAAGAACTAAAAGTTCAGTTTTTCATCAAATTATTAATTTTTGCATGACAACATCCTGTCTGTATTTACAAACTACCTGTATTTAAATCTAATTGATCGTTAAGCAATACATTTGAATGTCTCATTTTGTTAATCTCCATGGCTTCCAATAAATTTAATTTTCTCCATTTTATGGCTGTATGTAAAATATCAAAATTGTCATCAAAATGTGTTTTTCTGTGTTTAAGTGTGTAGCATAATTAGACACCTGATTTTTGAGATTTTTGACATTTTACTTTATTGTTTTTTCCTATTGTGCTGATAGTACTGAAAGCTATTTTTAAAGCACATTTTGACAAATGCTTTCCGACTTTTTCACTAGCTTCTCCTATGTATGTAATTGTTTTAAATTGTTCGTGTTCTGTATTGGATTCAGCTTTTTAAGTCACTCGTGTATTTGACTCTAGCGGAGCGCAGCGGAAACTCGTGAGTCAAATGGCGTTTACCGCGCTTATTGCATAATATACTATTAAAGGCAAGTAAAGGACAAACCAATGACAAAAATGCGATATGAGGATTTTTCCGTAATGCTTCATTGTGTTTATGAGGCATTTATTTAGAAAATAGAAGATGCGGTATCCAAGATTCATTCTGCGATAAATATTTGCACCAGAGTATCTGTCTTTGGATGAGTAAATATCTGGGAAATTTTGTCCTCGTATTCCTTATTCTGAGATAATGGCAAGTCTGTAATTTTCGTAGTAACCGATTTGAAAAGAAAAAACAGAAAATATTTCAAAATAAAACTAAAGCTAATTTTTGAAAAATGAGCCTGAGCCTTGCCTTGGCTCGTCTACAATCATCCCCAAACGACATCGACATTCATTCTTGTTTTTTCTTCTTTAACAACTAACTTGTCCATTCGACGTGCTTGTCATTTTCCCAATTGTAACCGATAACTGATTTCCAGAAAACTTTTAAGTGAAGTGAATGCCAGGTATTTATATATTCATTTATCGGCGTCATGGTTATATTTGGTTCATAAAAATGAGGAATAAATATTATTTTTCTTGAATATGGAGAAATCTCAAAATAAAAAACTCTACATGAAACTGCGAGGAGACGAATAAAAAAACCTTTAATCTCACTATTACATAGGTACCTTGATATGTTTTCATAAAGGGCAGATGTGGGCAGAAATTTATTTTTTAGGAAAGTTTGCGAGAATTCGTATAAACAAAAATGTGTGCCACCGTTTTGCTTTTACTTTAAGTAATATAAGAAGAACACAGATTCAATTAAACAGCAGTCACGTGCGGTAAACGGCATTTGATTCACGAGTTCAAAAGTTTACCGAACATATGGTATACTATACTACTTCTACGACCGTTAGTTTTTGGATACATTTTCGCAAAACAATATGAATACATTCACTAACATGGCCATCAGAATTAACAAACGCCAAAAGTCAAAGCGTGGGAAATATCTCCGAAAACATCCGATTGCTCCCAAACCCGTGCGGTAAAATCGCGGAAATGTCCGAAGTGGATTCGTGGAAAACGAAACTGACGTGGTAAAGTGACGCTTCCCGCACGGTAGGTCTGTGTGTAATTAAGTATTTTACAGACGGGAGTAGAAAAATATATTGGCCCTAGTTTGACTTTATTAGAAGCAAAATTAATATCATTCAATTGGGAAGCTTCAGCCACCGCCGTTTTTCCAATAAACCGTTTGAAAACAGGTTATTTTTTTCGTAATTTAATACACTGGTCAGCAAAATCACTGTATTTCGAAAAATCTCTCAATACTGCTCGAATATTTTCATGCCTCAGTTAAGTACATTTTTATTTTAAGGGCATTTAAAAAAGATAAGGAGATAAGAAAAAACAAATAAAAAAAAACAAAATGCAAAACATTTTTCTCACCGATTACGATGGTGAAAACAGAAAAACAATTGGTTTACATTTCTCTTTTGGGTCAGGTGATTTGAACGTAAGAAACGATAAGTTTTTTCGTCTCCTCCTTTTAGCAAAATCGGAGAATAGAAAACTAGAATTTACATCATCATCATCATAATTATCGTTATTCGTCAAGGGAAAATTTATTGCGAGGTCCATAAGTTGGATTTAGCTTTGACGTACACACATCAGTTTTTGACAACAAATCCTCGGCCTCCTATGTCACCAGATATAACCCCACTTCATTTCTACTTATGACGTTTTAAAGGCTGCAATACGAGAAATATAAACCAGCTTATTAAACAATACTAAAGGCTAGGTTTTTTTTTCTTTTCTTATTTCCATGTTTCTTACGCTTTTTGGTTCTGTCGGTGATATACATTGCGCTCCGTTTAAAAAGAGTACATTTCTGTTTTCACCACTTTGTATCTCTCCTCATAACAATGTTACCAATGATAAACACTTAACTTAGATCAGTCTGTACATATAATTTTGCCGGTTTCCACGGAAGTTTTAGTACATTGTGAACTTCTGCGGAAAGTTTTTCAACATTTTTTACGCGTTTCTGTAAAAAAAGGAAAGAAGTAAAGCGGAAAAAAAAATGATTTGTTTGCAAGATTACTGATGTGACCGGCAAAGGCCGAAGGGCAAACTACTGAGTAATAAGTGTGTACAGAAACTATGCTGAAGTTGGGAAAATATTATTAATTCTTGCGTGATAAAAAGATAAACAACTGCTTAACAAAGCACATATTTTGACCTGTTATTTGTGAGTATTTTTAAAAACGTTGTGCTGGTGTTGCAGTACCCGGCCTCAGTACTGTGACTCAACCTACCACCATGGGCCGTAGGGCTTCTTACAGGGCCCCCGCTGCCGAGCCTGCTAGCCCGCCAAGTCCAGACGTAGCACCCACGCTAGCTCTGGTCGCTCCGGAAGACGACAGGAGGACCAGGCGAAGGGGATCGCACTTGTAAGTAGATTTTCTTGTCCATTCTACCTTTACATCACGAATGAAATGTGGGCCATCGTTTGAGTTGTCCCACTCGAAATAGAATCCTTTCTATTCGCCATTTTTCAAAAAAGCGTTTAATTTTCGAATACCGAATCGATTAATTACGATGTTTAAATAATGTACCCAGCAGGGAACTGTCTTATTTGAATCGCTTGGCGGGCCAACTTGCGCTGGGTTTGGTTAGTGAAACTATTCCAATTCCATTTGAACGTCATATAAACGTAATTAAACCGCACAATCGTAACCCAAAGAGCAATAAGAGAAAAACAAAAAACTAAAGATACGTACGTATACTTCTTCCTAAAGACGATGCAAAAATATATTTCTAGTCTAAAAAATGAATACACACATTCCAAAAAATAAAAATAAATTTAGGGTTAAAGTTTTAGCACTAGCATTAGCATTTAGCACGTTTTGCTTTTGGAAGTTCTGCCATTTTCTTTTGGTCACTTTGCTAATATATTTTTCTTTAAGACCGTTAATTTTGGGCTATAGCCAAAGCTAATTTTAAACTTGGTACTTTTTGAAGCAACCCTTTATGGTCAGACACATATTTGCATAAAAAATTTTTAGAATCTCTTACAACAGTGTCAGAGGAGACGGGAGGCAAATATAGGCGACGTTAATTTTAAACCCGATACTTTTTGAAGCAACCCTGTATGTAAAGAGGCAATTAAAATTTTTCCCGTTTGTTAGAAACATCCAGAGACACAGAACGATTTATTCGACAATCTCCTCATAGACTCACCATAAAAAAAGCTGGAAATTAGTGAATCATATTTTGTCTCAAATGGACACCTCCATTTGGTCGTCGTTCCCCGTCAAACGACGGACTTTTTTTGCGGCGAAAACTGTCGATCGGGTAGTAAACAAGCGGCGACGTCCCTCGGGACAAACATCGTCCTACCCGTTTTGTCGCCGTCTCTCGTCCTTATTTTCAGGGAACGTTTTTGCCATGTAATTTAAAGTCAACCTGTAGCACTCGTTGGCGTGAATAAATGCCGACGACACAGTGGCGCGCCGTCGTCGGCTACGGCCACGGAAAAGTGAATACGTTTTTCAATTCAGTGGCGTAGATGTTTCGTTGAAGCATGTCCTGAGGTTCCACGATGTCCTGCGTCTTCTTAGCCCTCTTCGTCCAAATATTTTCCTCGTAAGATTGTCTGCAAGAAACCGTAATTCCTTGTGACCTAGATATTCTAAATTACGTCCATTAGTCTTTCAGCATTCTCCTGTACAGCCACTTCTCGAAAGTGTTGAGTTTTTTGGCTGTAAAGAAGAACGGACACTACATGACATCGTAGGAGTCTTACTTTATACCTAAGGGCACCTACGAGTGGCACATGATCGATGCAACTAACGCTGACTCGAAATATTATTTAAATGCATGGCGGCCGATTTTATCGATCCCGGGGCATGTTTTTATGGTTTTAGCGTCCTCGATTCGATTGAAGTGTTTTATCCTTTAATTTAATATGTATCAAAATGCATTAAAGCCGGTTTTATATTAAACGCAGGATTCGAATCTTCGTTGGATAACGTTAAGTAGTAGAGATTGTCCGTTTCGGAGCCTGATTATTCTACATATTAATATAGGTTTCATTAAATACAACATCCCTTTTATAATAAAAAAGAGTGCTTAAGATAAGAAAACAAATTCAACAACAAATTGAGAATCGACTTTCGGCTATAACTTGCATTTTAAATAGTTGAATCAATACTGCGAACGAAAGCATAGGTTTTTTTTAACATCTGTTGAGTTTATTTTTATGAGGCCATTATATTCGATCCACTAACGATTCGCTAGGGCAATCTCACCCTTTACAGCTAGTTAGAATTATTCATATGGTATAACGAATTTTTGGATAAACAAATTCAAAAACGCGTTGAGAGATCGCGAAGGATCTTACTAAATGTAAAGGTCTATCGAAATGACTTAAAATTACATAAAAATTCACGTCAACATATTGAGAGGTGGTTTTCCGGCATTCGGCCATTGTCGCGGCTTTCTTGCGATTTACGGCATCGTAAAACCCAAAAATGTTTCCCCCCCGTATGGGCTTGAGCCTAAACGTGGATAATACTGGGTCCGGAAAATTCAAAAAACAATCTCTACGGGACGATGTCGTTTAGAAGTCGAGAATAGATTCGATGGCATATCCGATTCTTTTTCTGCCTCGAAGGAGGGTGGAATATCATTTTGCGAATCGCTCGAAGTCAACCCGGAGGGTTGACGCGAAACCAAATCAACCTAGACGTTCGACAATGATTCAGTAGAATACATAGAGATTGTCGAACTTCTATTGAGTGTATTATATTGTACAGAATCTCTGTATATAGGAAAACTACACTAACTTTCGAGTATAACCATTCTGAAGTAACCAAACTAGGAATCATCCGACCACCCTGCAAAAGAGCAATTGCAATACGCTGTGATGAATGTACAATGAAGCAGTATTAAAAAGAATTTGCTTCATAATGGTTACGCTCGAAAATGTATTGATAAAACGGTAAACGAAGAGCAGCAGCAGAGCGATATATATATATATATATATATATATATATATATATATATATATATATATATATATATATATATATATATATATATATATATATATATATATATATATATATATATATATATATATATATATATATATATATATATATATATATATATATATATATATATATATATATATATATATATATTCTCACGTATTGATTCACGGATGGAAAAATGTGATGACACTATATTCCGGGATATCATCCGTTCGCTCGTTGAACTCCGACTGGAATCCTGCATCCGACTGGAATCCTGCAAATCTTGCATCCGACTGGAATCCTGCAGACGTTTCGCCAAAATCTCACTTGGCATCTTCAATGCTCGCGCTCGTGTTCGAAGTGTTTTCGGAGCGCGAGCATTGAAGATGCCAAGTGAGATTTTGGCGAAACGTCTGCAGGATTCCAGTCGGATGCAAGATTTGCAGGATTCCAGTCGGATGCAGGATTCCAGTCGGAGTTCAACGAGCGAACGGATGATATCCCGGAATATAGTGTCATCATATATATATATATATATATATATATATATATATATATATATATATATATATATATATATATATATATATATATATATATATATATATATATATATATATATATATATATATATATATATATATATATATATATATATATATATATATATATATATATATATATATATATATATATATATATATATATATATATATATATATATATATATATATAAAATGACACTATACTCCGGGATATCATCCGTTCGTTTCTTAAACTCCGACTGAGATCCCGCAGACGTTTCGCCAAGATCTCACTTGGCATCTTCAATGCTCGCGCTCCGAAAACACTTCCTAGTGTTCGAAGTGTTTGTTTTTGTGTTCTTGGACCGTTTTGTATATATTAAATTCAAGATGTTTTTCTTGGGTATGGTCCGTTACGTAAAACAAACAAAAGAAGACAGTTTCTAATTCATAATAAATTTATTTGACGTTTTGACCGTTGTATTCGGTCTTTTTCAAAAATATCTAAAAAATTGACAGGGTTTTATACAAGGCACCGAGAACGAGAACGATAAAACTTACCATAATTTTGAAATCGATGTAGAAATAGAAACATTTAGATACAACACACGACGGCACGATTTAAAATTGTAGAAATAAAACAGTATATATCAAATTGTATAACAGAAATATAGAATTAGTATGGGCGTGTTTGCGACTCTATCGTGCGGACTGAGATATCAATTGGCATGCGAAGCAGAACTACGAAAGTACGTTTTTTTTTCGGCGATGTTATTTATTTACTTCATTTTTTACTTTAGATTTAATTTTGTGACAGCCACCCTAATTTATTTAGTTTTCAGATTATACTTTATATTTAAATCAGAACTATATGGTAAATTTTACTAAAGCCTTTTGTGTCGGTTTTAAAGTTTTTATCGATTTGTGGAGTTCTCTTTTTTTAGTATTAGGCTCTGTTTTCAGTATATTTACATTTTGAAAATCGTTGTCAGGGTCAGGGTTAGCCAACTACTTCCCCCATCCCTTTTGGTGGGAACACTTAACCAAGTGACGTCAACAAAGACGCAGTTTGTGTGTCGAAAGCCCTCGAACATAAAATCGAGCGACAAATAAGTGTCGTTAAAGCCGAGACGTGATCGATCCTCAAATGTCGCAAGGCAATATAAATCCCGCGACAATCGCGGCTTTCGCGGGATCCGTTGAAACTGGATCCGCGTTTACCACTCATGCTCGATTTACAGTTGCTACATATTTTGATTCCTGAAAAAACTACATCGCAACAAGTGCCGCGAAAAAAACCTATCCGTTTTCTAAATAAGAACAAGCTACTGTAATACTTTTTACAAAACTTCTGGATTCCTCCTGCGTCGGTTTTTGTTGGGTCGAACTTGCTAACGTTTCGTCAAGCATCCTGTTGGCTTCTTTAGAACTTGACTGAAACTGTCATATATTATTTCAGGGGGGGCGGAGCTAAATGAAGGACATACACACCGTCTCGGATGACTGATTCCCATGTGGGTGACAGGTAAACACAGTCGGGAATAGCTATAGGATCTCCACTATCACCAGTTATTGCTTACATATTTATGGAAGCCTTTTAGAAGAAATCTCTCGACACCTTTCACCTAAAGCCAAAATAATGGAAATGCTACTTCGATGATACTTTTGTGATTTGGAGTCATGATCAAGCGTCCCTAGTACAGCCTAACATACGTTTAAACCATTGAATTAGAAACTAATAATAACCTCCCATTCTTAGATATTCTTAACCTACGCACACAGATACCTTAATTTACCTCTTGTTTCCAGAGCCGTAAAACTATCTCAGCTCAAGTCACTGGACACAGAATTAAAACACCTTGCCTGTGCTCTTCTCTCTAATAATTTCCACATTATAGATATTAAGCGTTCCATCACAAAATACACTTCACCACAATCTTAGAATAGCAGTAAGCAAGAAAGCAATCCCGCACGTGCCACTGTTGTCCTTCCTTACATTCAAAATATCACTGACCACATATCAAAAGTTCTAAAGAAATGTAACGTCAAAATAAGATTTACCACTTGTCCAAAGATCTCAGAAACATCTTCGGTCCGTCAAAGGCAAAATTCCATTTGAAATGCCAGTAGTTTACCGTATTCCACGCATATGCGACAACGAATACTCAGGCTCAAAGAACACGAAAGAGCCTTACGACTAAGGCAAATAAATTCATCAGCTGTTGCCGAACACAATCACGAAACCGGACATAAAATTTTATTCGATTAAACTAAAATTGTTGCATGTAATCAATTCTTCTACCAACGAAAAATCCGAAAGTCTATAGAAACCTATAAACAACCTGACAATCTTAACCGCGACTCAGGTCTCTACCTGTCACCAATATGGGAATCAGTCATCCGAGACGGTGTTTATCAAACAATATATAAGCGGGTATAGAGTAAATTGCGAAATTGCGAGCCAGTTTCAGTTAGGCTCTGAAGAAGCCAACAGGATGGTTGGCGAAACGCTAGCAAGTTCGACTCAACAGAAAAGTGTGCTAAGTTTACTTTCAAAAGTTCGCATTTGCTGAACAAAATCATCTTTGAAAGAATTATTAAGGTTGATAATCGATACGTGTGGTATTAATTTATATTAATAAAAATCAGGCTTAGCAAAGTAAAAAATTAATTTTGCAATTATTATTGACGGAGATCCAGCCTCCCGAATTTCTGTTGCGAATCGCGTCCCGCGTATGGAATGTGAATTTAATCGTTGCTATTTTTAATTCGTTTCAGATTTCAAGCGAAGGTGCGCAGGCACTTGCTCGTCACGCGCAGGTGTAAAACTTTTCGTTTCAAACAGAGCACCTATAGATCTAGGCCTAGAATCACCGCTTTCGAAATCCGTTAGCCATATATTTTTTTTTAAATCACCCTCGATGGGATTAGAAGCTTTCGTTGATAACCTGCGGACGGGAGGGGTATAAGACGCACGTAGGCTTATAAGAACCCACGATCGGACGGAACTTACGGTTACGATGATGGCCGATAATTGATTTTGGTTGCAGGCCCGATATCGGGGGCGGTTTGAGGACGATCATACCGCCCAGACCTACGCCCGCGTTAGAAGACCTCGAAGCGGCGCCCAGGAGACAGGCGTCGGTGGACGCCGAAGCAATTCGCATCGTTATACACGACGTCGACAGCGGAACGGCGTCGGCGGCCCAAAAAAGGGTCGTCCTACGGAGAGACCCTTCCGACAAAGCTCACCGTAGTAAGTCGACTTTCAAATTGCAACCCAAATTTCAAGAAATTCGATTGGCTCGACGCATTAAATTTACTTATTACGTCGAACGGGAGCAATATACAGGTTATTCGGAAATTGAGTTCGGAAACTAGAAGGAAAGATTCAACCGGGTAAAAAGTCATGTGACAAAAAGTCAAAATCGTAATATTTTGGTAGTTATGGCTTAGCGAAATTTATGTTGATGAAATGGAATTGTTCGAAAGTATGCGCGGCGCGCTTGGCTACGAAACTAATTTCTCGGACCCCCATTAGTACAGAAATGATCAGGGTCGAAATTTTTTTTTGTTTTGTCTCCGTTCTCTGTGGAAATGGCTTTTAAGGCGTTAACTTTTGAACCGTTTGAAGTAGAGAGTTAAAATTTTGGTGCTTTTTCAAAGCCCACATTTTACAGAAAATATTTGAAAATGACCGCGGTCGAAACTCGGCGGCCATCTTTTTTTTGTCGATTTTCTGCCGTTTTTTGGACATTGCTATGAAACACGATAAGTGTCCGAAATTTGAAACCATCGACTTGAAATTTGGCACACACACGGACCCTCGTCCCCTAACGAAGCCTATTGAAACTCGGGCGGCTGGGAGGTCGGGAAGTATTTTTATAAAAAATTAAAAACCACGTTTTCAAGGATCTAAGAAAAAAATCGTTTCTCGAAAACGGCAAACAAAAAGACGCAGAAGATACGGCTCCATAAAATTTTATTCTTGAAACTTTTTCAATAATGTACAGGGTGCGCCACAAACTCAAAAAAACTGAAAAATAGGTCCCAATATCACATATCAAGGCTGTGCTGCGGATGTCAGTACCTTTTACATGGCGATATACCCCGCATAAACAGCAAAATCTTGTATACTTAAGGTTTTTACCTGTTGCACAAGGTGTTCACGATATTAAGTGCAATATTCAAAAGTTAATAGGTGTCTTAAATTTGCAGATGTTGACTTCAAATTTGGCAGAAGGGTAGAAGTCCACACCCGCATTTCATCTGTTGAAAAAGGGCTTACTCAAATCTCGTAAAGTATTTTCAAAAAATTTTGAATTTTTTTTTATATACTTTGACTTCCATAAAATTTGTGAACTGGGAAATGCGGTAGATCCGGGACCATAACTTTTATTTCATTTTTGGCATTATATACAGGGTTTTTCAATTATCGCTATTAAATTATCAGTCGTAATTCAAAATTCGTGAAAAATATCGCCAATTGGTTTAAAAATTGTTATTGACCACATCGATAGCTACAATTTTTGTATTTACGTTTTTCATCTATCACATACCCTGTTCAAGATATTTAAAAAATTCCAAATGAAAATCACCGTCTTTCGCCCTCAATCTAGACGCGATGACGTCATTTACTATTACCAGTGCATGGTTTCAGAAAACAAGTACTTTCTTGAAGACTCTATTGGAAAAAATCATATACCAGGAAACATGGCAGATCCAGGGCTATAACCTTTACTTCGACCGTTGTTTGATTCATATGCAGGGTGTGTCATTTATGAGCAAAAACATCTAAAACGTCCTAAAAATTTCCGTTTTTGTGTTTAAATTATTGCGGATAAACGAAATGAATGTTGAATGTTGAATGTTGAATTGATGAATGTCTTAGCAGATGGAAAGTTTCTGTTATTCAAATTTAAGATGAAATCACATTTACAGGTAAAATTAGAGCCGAGAGTAAAAAAGTCGATTTGTGGCTAAACGATAACACTTATCGACTTAAAACAAGGGTAACAATCTATTCTATTTTGCAATATCAGTCTAAGTAAATGAAAAATACAGGGAAAGTAAAAAAAATATTCTAGGTAAAGTGACGTAGATTTCTGAAACAATTTTCTTTTGTTACGATAACTTTTACTAAATGACCTACGCGTTTTGACAAGGCAGTTCAAATGTATTAACTACAATAACAAGGGCGTTAAATCGGCTTCTTCATTTCTGTTATCTACATTTAACATTACAATTGTAGAAGACACATAAAACAAGCAAAAAATCTAGGGTTATATTTTGACATGTCTCTACGTTTTACGCCGCATATCAATAAATGTACACCTAGCTCACACGGAAATCTAAAGGTACTAGTTTCAAGTCTTCAATTACTTTCCAAAGAAACCCTGACTCTTTAACCAGACGTAGTTTATGGATCATGTTTGGATAAAACAGATAAAGACAGAATTCGGAGGGTACACACATTATCCCTAGGATTTGTACATAGTATACGCAGAAGGATGCCGATATCACATGAGTTACGTGAAACTAAATTGTTTTTGATTGAAAATCAATAACAATCAATGTCTTTCTAATCTAGTTAAAAAGATTAAATACAGAACCGAAGTTCATAATTAAGATTCCAGGGTCACATATGAAAGATCGTTTTCTCAACAGTGTCCCTAGACAATTTAAATGTTTGAATTTCAATTCTTAAAAAAATAATTCCTGAATGATGCGTAGGCTGGTGAATTATGTCTTAATTGTTAATGGGCATTCAAATCCCTATGCTCCTTTTCTCTGTCAATTCTGTTGTTCATCCAAAATCTAATCTTAGTATCATAAAAATTAGCCTTTATTCCTAGTTGTATACTTTTCCCGACATTTTTTTTTCTATTATACATACTTTCGGCACTTCTTCTTCAGTTCTTAATTGCCTTCAGTCTCTTTTTGTGGATAATTATGTATATTTATGCAAACACGTTTTCTCCATTTATTATTAAATCCTTCTCACAACTTCTCTGGTCACGATAGACATATTCCACCTAAGTTTGAAAAAAATTTCATAACTCATACTAAACAATGACATCAAACAATCAAGAGTGTCAGGTCGACGACAAGATGGGAAAAAATCGAGTCCGATTTCAGGTCGATCGCTTCGGAGGGGTTGGGGACGAAGCAAAGAGAGACCGTAAATAATTAAGTTTCGAAACTTCTCGTATTTCATTTGAATACGGAGCGAAGGACCGGGAAAATATAGTCGAGAAATGCCTGCGGTGTATAAATACCGAATTTGAGAGTCACGTAGTCGGTTAAGTAGATCCGGGAAAGGAGCCTCTCCCGGAGGCACGCGGACGAATTCCAAAATGGCGGCGTTTCCATTCGTCGCATACTTTGGCTCCGCGATATTGCCGGTGCATATTGAAAACGCATTGGAAAAGGCGTCAAAATATAATAAGAAAATAAAATTCGACGCACAGCATGACCCATTTTCCTTGTTTTCCAAGGACACAATGGCGATTTGGAGATGATCGGTATATATTTTTACAAAAACAAATTTTTTAGAAGAAGTTTACGCGACTGAAAATTTGTAAAACTTTTATTTGGTTTTCTTTAATGCCCCATTTTCCATTACTTTTGTTTTCAAATTAATCCCGTCGGTAGAACGGTTCTCACAATTTCAAACAACAAAGCCGCTTTCGGAATATTTCAGGAATTTCTTTATTATTAATGTAGGCGGGTTTTCCTTAGAAGAGAAAAGATTGAAGTATAAAACAGGATAATCAGATTTTTCACGTAGCGGAAATTGAATTAGCGGAATTTTTTGTTTGAACTTCGAAACAGCTCAACAAAACTCTCGCTCGTTGCTGCGAGCTAATCTGGTTTGCTTGTGTACTTAATAACGCTTGCAACATGGAGAGCGAAGGTCGAATCGTTGGTCTAATAAAATAGCCTTTTATACTAAACTGCGTCGTAGCAATGACTAGAGAATTTTTTCATAAAAAGTTCCTAACTGTCATTATTTTTTTTAAATGTTTACCGTTTGAAAAGTGAATGTCGTTATTAAAACTTTTGTCCGTATTTAAACTTCAATTTCATTTTTTTCTAAGAAACTACTGATCAGATAAGAAAAATATGCTGTTTGAAAGGAAATTTAATATGCTTTAAAACGTTTTTAAATTGAATAAAATTTATTTCTCCTTTTTAGGTTTAGAGCAGTAAAATAACTGTACGAGTCAAATTAACTTTTTTTATTACTAAAAACAAATAGGGTTATTGATAATTAGCAACTTAACACTTATTTTTTAATAACGGGTATGACCCTCTCTTACCCTAATAACATATCTTACTCGGTTAAGCATAGATCTAATCAAGTTCGCTATTGTTTGTTGTGGAATGTTAAGCCACTCTTCCTCTACTGCAACATTAACCTCTAGAATTCTCCGTTTTACCTCATCCAATAAACGTTCGATCGGATTGAGGTCGAGGCTGCATGCTGGCCACTCCATAACTCGAAAACCGACTTCTGTAATGTAATCTTAAACGATCCTTGTGGTGTGCCTAGCATAGTCCTGTAGCAACTGTTAACCCCCTTGACCACGGCGGGTCGGTTCTTGTGTCCATAGAAATTGCACCCCATATCATGCATGAACCACCTCCATAAGGGCTCCGCTCTACATTGCAGCATTCTATTGGCCTTCGATACACTATTTTTCATCGGTCACTACCAAAAATAAATATTCTGGTCTCATCTCAAAACAGAACAGACCCCAATTGGTTCAATGTCCAATTTAGATGATCCCGTGCAAAGCGCAAGCCTGTTTGTCGATGACCTGGAGTAATTGCGGTTGTTTTGAGGTCACGTTATTTTCCTTCAGTCTTCTTCTCACTGTTCACAGACTAAGAGCCGCTTTTCGAACGTCATGGAGCTGTTGTTTTACTTGACTCGCATTAAGCCACATCCAAATTCAAGCATAGCGCATGATCAGCAGGTATTCATCATTAGGGCCAGAAACCTTGGGTGTTAATTTAGTTATTGATTCTCTAGTTTTATAAACATGTAACTGCCTAGAGTTAATACTACCTTACTACATGTTATGTACACACAAAACGTTAAATTATTCAGCTGAAAGGTAGATTATTTTATCTTATGTCAGGTAGTACGCGTAGTAGGAATTCCTCATTTCGTATATTCAAACAAATCTGCAGTATTTGAAAAATGCTGCGCCTATTGTTCTCCCAGCTTCTACAAAATAACCACTCACGTTTAAATACAAACTTAAAACTTATTTGTTTTACATTTTTACTTATTAAACTTATTTTTTATTGGTTTATTTAATTAATAACTGACAGGAAAGACGATTGAGACTGGAATATAATTGAAATCGATAAGTAAAGGTAACTGTTTGACCTAGAAAGTGGGGTTCTGCGCTAATATCAGCAGATTTGATGTGGTTTTCGATACTATAAGCCGATTTTGTGTGTAATCCGTACGAAACCAAGAAGAAAAAGCCACCATTTGTCAAAACAAGGGGGGTTTTTAGTTGATATCTGCGGGTTTAATGTAGATTTCGGTACGATACGTGGCTCAAAAGAAGATTTTGACTGGAGTCATATATTTATTATTGTTGTTATAGATTACATTTTAAAACTCATACCTGTATAAAATGATTCTGATCTCAATATTTGAGATTTTAAACTAAGCCGTAGTCGTTGCGCTGGGGATTTTAGCACAGAACCTCCGTAGCATATCTACTATGGTCCACTTCGCGTATCGTCGTATCGCGACGAATTTGACGGTCGACTAACTAGACGGACGATGTTTCGAATTTATATAAGCTCATGAATTTTTATTGACGACAGCTTTGCCACCTGGAGATCCGCGATTTCTCTCCACGGATCGCTAACAAGCGTATTTGTTTATGCGCATATTTATTCAAATCGACCCGGTTTCTCCGGAGGCATTGCGCTTTTTTTATTCGGGTCTATCCTTTCTTCTTTTTATTAATTTAATCTATACCGCGCCATTTCGAAAAGTGCCGACTTTCTCATTAGTGATTTCAATATCGAAGATTTCAGACGTTGCCCGGATAGAGGACTTCTGGATTCCGAAAATATCTTAGGAACCAATGATGATTAACATAGATGAACAGTGCTTGAAATAACTTCCTTACGGCATATTTTAGAAACTCAGAGGGATTCAAAAAATGTTCCTGCACTCCAGACACGGTCGTAATAGCAAATTGAAAAAAAATATTGTCCGATGCATAGAAAATAATAGAGGTTATGTGGAACATGTTTAGCATTAATTATTGATATTTTCATTGTTTGAATAATATAATTGTATTTGTTATATGCTTGCATGTGGAAAAATTAAAAGATTTTATTTTAAAAAAACGACATGACATTTGCAGCTAGAGGCTTCGGTATGCGGGTAGTCGGAGGGAAAACTAGTCCTGACGGCCACCTGTTCGCTTATATAGTGTGGACGGTACCCGGAGGACCCGCAGAAAAGGGCGGGCTGCAACAGGGCGACAAAGTAAGTTCCAGCCCCTCCCTTTCGCTTTTTTCGACGCCGATTGGTTTAGGTTTTGGAGTGGGGAGGCGTGTCGCTGATCGACAGGAACTTCGAGGAGGTGTGCGCCATTATGGACCACCACACAGGCGACACCGTCGAACTGTTGGTGGAACACGCTACCGATCTGCGCATGTGCGACTTTCTCGACGAACCCCCGCCGCCGCCGCCGCCATCGTCCGGCAGGAAACCGTCAGAGGCGAACATTACCGGCTTATACGGTAAGCTCCGCCCACACGAACGTTTCTCGACCAATCGCGGTACTCGGGCGTGGTGACGGGGGCGTGGTTTCTTTCCGACCGCGTTTTTCGATTGACTTGAGGGCGGTCGCGCGCTCCCCAAGACTTCGTCTTTCCGTTCTACCTCTATTTGGACGTAATTAAAACGGAAATGGTAATTAAATCGTCTGCGTCGATTTTAAGCCCTTAATTTGCGGTGGGATATTGCGAGGGTTCCGTTAAATCAACGAGTGTATTTCCGTTTTCTGGATACATCGTTATATAGGCATCGCAGTCGCGCCAAACTCTCTGTTACTTCCGATATTCGTTAAAAAGGGGAACATATTTTTTAGGACGCGATATTAATTTAGTTGAAATCGCGGGCAGATAATCAAAAAAATCCCCAACATTTCGGAATTTTCCGTGACATATTTTAATCTTTTAAATCTTTCTTTTAGTCTTCAAAAAGATAATGCATAATCATATAGACAACGCCCAAATATCCTATTACAATTGGAATAGCAAATCAAATTAAAACTATTAAATGCTTTCTTTTATATTTTGAGACAATTCTAAAAAGAAAGTGTTTTTTTTTTAAAACGTCAAACGTTTTTATTTGACATTATGGCTATTTAATCTAATGTAATTTTTGCAATGCTCCGTTGAATGTATAATAACAGTTTACGATATGATCCATCTGTAAAAATATCTTGAATCTTCTTCTGATATGCATTTGTGTTCATCACCACCGTAGTTGGAACCTTTTGTAAGAACTGAAGTTGGTGCGATGATGCATTTGTTTGGTGGCTGAGTTTGATCATTTCACTAGTGTCGACGTTAGTTTTTCAAATTTCTGATTTTGGGTAGAAGATAAACGAAGATTTAAAGCTTTGTTAGTTTCGGTTAGTTAGAACTTTGATGTGGACAAGATGTAATACTGGACACTGTAATACTATTTACAAAACTTCTGGATTCTTCCACTTACGTTTCAAAATACTTAAAACCACAAAGCAATAAATTCAAAATATTTTTGGTCGTATTATATCATTTAAGAAACTTTTGGTCTGCTCCTGCGTCGGTTGTTGTTGAGTCGAACTAGTTGACGTTTCGCCAATCAGAGAAATACAGAAGTTTTGTAAATAGTATTAGAGTATCCTGTGGAAGTTTCTTTGAAAAATTACCAACTCTTAGGATTTTGGAAAATTTCCTCGTATTATTAGCTTCATCATGGCAGTGGTAGAGGTGACAATAAGCTTTTCTCGAATATTTATAAGTAGAAATTCCTCGGTTGGTTTTGCTAAAATATCCCCAATCCACCGCATGTTAGTCCATTACGATTCAACTCCGACGCTTAAAACTTGCGTCTTTTTTCAGGCACGAAAACGGTGAGCGAGTAATGAAAACGCTGGCGATTTAAAGCGGGCAGAGAATTATCAGATCGGGAGGATTTTCGAACGCGTTTGCCTTATCTAATCGCGGGCCTTGATAGATGATGATTCGGCCTTGGTTTTCGGCAGCTTCGCAGTCTTATTTCCTTCTTTTTTTTCAGAACCAGAGAACGACAAAACCCCGTCGTCGCCTACGAGAAGGAAACTACCCAAGACACCGGTATAAACACGGCTTTATTTCTTATTCGGCCTAAATATCACCCGCCCTCAACAAACCTTGATTGATGGGCTTATAAAAATCAATTTTATTGCCTTCTTCCGAACTGATAAGAATGAATTTCGTACGAAAAGTGTTAAAATTATCAGGGAATGTACTTTTTAAATTATTGATTTTGGTGTCGATAAAGATTACATTTACACTTTGATCTGATTTTGTTGTTAAGCCTGTCTATTGGATGGTCTGTTGCATTTTATGACCCATTGATCGCTTTCTCTGATACTTCGTGCTTCACATTGGTGCAAACGTTTCAAAGTTTTAACTAATACATATTTTTATATCGATTTTTATTGAACTTACACTTACAGGATATATATATATATATATATATATATATATATATATATATATATATATATATATATATATATATATATATATATATATATATATATATATATACAGGGTTTTTCACTTAAAACTCCGCACGCCAATAAGTCCAAAACGAAAAGAAATATTTAATTTATGTAAAAAGTAGTCAAAGTGTGGGGTCAAGTAGATATTTCCTAAAGTTTAAAAAATTCGACGCCTGCAAAGAGCTGGGCGTCGCGACGCGTCGAAAAATTATTCGATTGCAGAGACTTTGGAAATACGCGCATACAAAAGTACATATTATTTAAAAACTTTTTTGTTATTTACTCAAACTTATTTACTTTACCCGTTTCTAAGTTATACCGATTTAAAGTAAACATTTCTTGATTAATACAAAATGTGATTAACGCTTATTTTTACAAGTATGCCATGAATGTTAGTTACTATGGCAACCATTGTTATCGCAGTTGTTTTAAGTTCAATTACAAACAATAGATTTCAACTATTTTAGTATGATTTTATTTATTATTTTTTATCGATTTAGTTCTGATAACATGATAAATAAATGAAAAAACAGTAAAATACCTACAAGTTAATAACCAAAATTATTATTGCAATTAACTACATAATAAGATATTTCAAAAATTTTGTTCAAAATTGTGTCCATCTGGTCGAACACAACTATCAAAAACTTTTAACAGATGAGCTTGGGTCACTTGTAGGAGAGTCCTTCTTGTGATAGCGGCACACGCTGCACTAATTTTGTTAATGAGATCAGCCATATCTTAGATAGGTTCTTCATAGATAACGTTTTTTAGGTAGCCCCAAAGAAAATAATCTGGTGGTGTAATGTCCGGGGACATCGCCGGCCACCTTACCGGTCCATTAGTACCAAACCATCTATTGGGATATTCTCGGTTCAAATACCTCGTTACTATTTGGGCATTATGTGCAGGCGCTCCATCCTGCTGTAGCCACATATTCATTCTAGTGTCAAGAGGCACTTCTTCTAATAATTCCGGAAGTGTAGTTTGAAGAAATCTTAAATAGCGATCTGCATTTAAAGTTCCTTCGTAAAAGTAAGGTCCAATAAGGAATCCATTTAATATGCCGCACCAAACATTGATACTAAAAATTCGTTGGTTACCTCTTTCTGTAATCCACCGAGGATGGTTTTCGGACCAAAAACGACAGTTGTGTCTATTAACGATTCCATTATTTTGAAATCGACTTTCGTCGCTCCATAAAATTTTCGAGAGAAAATTTGCATCTTGGCTATACAAATCGGACAATGTCGCTAAGAAATATATTCTTCTAGCATAATCGCCTGGTTCTAGTTTATGAACTAGTTTACTTTTGTACGGGTGAAAAGAGTTTCTATGTAGAATTCTCCACGAAGAAATTATATTAACACCGGTTTTTTCTTTTATCTCTGATAGGGATATCTTGGGGTTATTATCAACCTGCTGAATTACAGCAGCAGTATTTTCATCATTTGTAGCCGTCCTGTTCCTATCTCTTTTAGGTTTCATGAAGCTGCCATATTCTCTTAAGTTTTTACATAAACTTGAAAAGGTTTTTGCATCGGGGACTCTTCTATGCGGATAACGCCGTGCGTAAACTCTTTTTGCTTCTCTACAATTGCATCTGCATTCTCCAAACACCAGTAACATGTCTACTTTTTCCTCATTGCTAAATTGCACCATTTTCACATAATAATTCTTAGTTTTTTTTAAACCGAACAAATTTGGATATTTCTTGTGACAAAATGTGACAATTTTTTGATACAGCAATAACAACTTACGTTTGTAATTGCACTTAAAACAACTGCGATAACAATGGTTGCCATAGTAACTAACATTCATGGCATACTTGTAAAAATAAGCGTAAATCACATTTTTTATTAATCAAGAAATGTTTACTTTAAATCGGTATAACTTAGAAACGGGTAAAGTAAATAAGTTTGAGTAAATAACAAAAAAGTTTTTAAATAATATGTACTTTTGTATGCGCGTATTTCCAAAGTCCCTGCAATCGAATAATTTTTCGACGCGTCGCGACGCCCAGCTCTTTGCAGGCGTCGAATTTTTTAAACTTTAGGAAATATCTACTTGACCCCACACTTTGACTACTTTTTACATAAATTAAATATTTCTTTTCGTTTTGGACTTATTGGCGTGCGGAGTTTTAAGTGAAAAACCCTGTATATATATATATATATATATATATATATATATATATATATATATATATATATATATATATATATATATATATATATATATATATATATATATATATATATATATATATATATATATATATATATATATATATATATATATATATATATATATATATATATATATATATATATGTGTCAAAAAAAAAAAGATTGTGATGCCATAGCCAACAACAATTTTTCAAAATATTCTGATATTTCTTTTGATACTTCTTTTGGGGAAAATGTTTATAAATTAGTATAAAAACATGTATGTGGCGGAACCAGCTTGATTTTGAAAAAAAGTGTCAACAAGTGCGCACCTAAATAAAAATTAATTTTATATTAGGACTACATGTTATGTCAATTTAATTATACATATGTATAAATTCTTATGATCAGATTAATAGAAAGTTTTTCAAAAAAAAAGAAATAAGAGACATAAAAACAATGAGGGTATTATAACATTATTAGTTATTAGTTGATACGCTAGACTTCTATTTGATATATACGAAATAGATATGTACTAGCAAAAATTACTCAATAATGATTATTATTTATTTTACATAGTATTTTCTTAATATTAATTTTATTTTTATATACCTATAAACTTTTTAACTAAACTTTAAGGATCGAATTAACAAACTCTTTTTAGTCCATTTTATGTTGTATAGATTTATTTATTTAATTTTCTTACCTTGTTTAGTTGGCCTATAAACTTTAATTATTTACTTTTGTAATCAGGTATTTTTAATCAAGCTAGATAACTATTAAATGTTTCTTTAAATATGAATTCTAAAGACTTACTAATCATCACTACACTTAAATCTGTTAAAGTGTGTAGTATAGAGTCAATTTTTTTCAAAATTTTCACGTATTAATTTGCATCCTGTATTGTTAGCGACAGGTTTTATTCGTATATCTGAAGTATTATATCTTTAAAAAAAGTAGTATCATGTTTTTGCTATTTAAAAAATACCTAATATTGCCAAAGAGTGACCTAATGTGGGCAGCTTTAAATTCAACAAAAATGTATACGGGTGTTATCTTATATTTTGTCCATCTATTTGGGACACCCTGTACAAGCTGAGGCGCATTAAGAAGTGTATCACCTCCTTAGTCTGTGGTTAAATTCTCGTTGCAATACCTTAATCAGTAGCATCACAACACATTTTTAAACTCATAACCTCAATTTCTGCCTAAACTATGCAATAATACTAGAACACTCGCTGGCACTTCAACATAAAGATGAATTTTTTGCAGCGTTTGTTTTTCTAAAAAGAATATTAACTTAGACGAATCGAAGAAAACACTTCGTTAGAATTAACAACATATCGGAGACCTTCCTTCTGTGTTATCGGGCCAGCGGAATATTGTTCATAGAACTTCTATAATTTATACACTGGATGAAACGTCATAAAAAATAATAAGAATATACCGTATTAAGCACATCGAATTGTTTAAATATGACATTTTCCACTTTTTCTCACACCTCCGACCAAAAATACGTATAGTTCAATAAAAATCGCGAAACTTTGCACCTGTATCTCTGTACATCTACCGCGTTTTCATAACGGAACGTATAAAATTTCTACCAAATCTATTGTATTTTCATATTCCGTCATTTTTCTAATCTCTTAAATTTTTCTACGTCGACGTGACAAATCAAAACGTAGAGCTTTAATCTTGGACGAACGGATCTGAATCCGATGCGAGATATTTCTAAATAAATAAAAAAAATAAGAGCCTGTGATAATTTTGACATTCCACGCGATGTGCGTTCCGATTGGATCGTCCAAGTAAACTCAAAATGTCCGCCATTTATAATTTACCATTGAATCGCCAACAGAGTGGGATTTCGAACGGTTCAGCCGTTATTACCCCATAGCAAGCTGCATTTTTAGTTTAGTTTTGGTTAGTTGTGTTGTTTATCGGCCCCCACCCTTAGACTTTCTCCCCATAGCAAAAATTTCTCTCCACTTTTGTCGAGGTTTAATTCGAACGTTGCAGCTCGTAAAACAAAATGGTAAATTATAAAATCGAATCTGTATAAAATGGCGATCGGCCAAATATTTTGTAAATTATGGCTTATACTTTGTAGATTTTTAAAAATTAGGTTATTGTGTAAAAAAAATTGACACGACGGCGTTGTTGGTAAGTGTCCGTTTTCTCTGTTCCTTTCTGTGTAGCACATTCGATGTAATTTATGTAGCTAATTAAGGTTGGTACGACGCGGCGCTGTCTAGTTTCCCTCTCATATATATTCAATATCTGTGGGCTTTAAACCAACGTATATACTTAGTAAAAATGTATACAACGTATACATCATAATATATGTACCACCACAGAACATAAAAAGGAGTAATTTGCTTAGCTCTACATAGCTGGCGCCACTTGAACTGGATAAATGTAAATTACAATTCTAACAATGTCACTATAAACAATGTTGCACGAAATTGCATGAAATTCAAAATATTTGTTCAAATTACGGTATTATTATTATAATTTTCCAAAACAATAATTAAATTAATCTTACGAAAACTAACCAAAACTTCATTTTAATTTAATTTCCGTTTCTTTACAATCATTTCAGCCTCCGAAAATAATAATCCAATAAAGTTGAAATTAATGGTAAATTTTAGCAAGTACCTGCGTTGCAACCTGTAATAAACTTTCGAAGCATTGAAAAATATTTTATCGATTCGAATTTACATTAAAAGAGTCCATGTTTTTGTAAATCCTAGGATAGAAACAATTTTAAAAGCCAATTAATTAGCTTTTCAAACTTTTAAATTTCTAATAACCCACGTAAAAATTTAAAATTTATAATCATGCATTTTATGGTTCTTCCAAACTCTCTAGAGACCATTCAAGATAAGGTCCCTGGTATGTTCAATGTTTCCATTCGTGAAAATCATTTTTTTATCAAATTGGAATAATTTCTTTAACACAATTCGAAAATGAAAGAATATAGAGGGCGTGCTGTTTCTAAAAACTAAATAAACAGTGTTTCTACAAGTCCCATACAAATCCGTATTTGATTCCATCTAAAAAAAGAATGCCCGAGCCCTTGCATTAACTGTATGGAAAAGCTAAGGCTGCAAATGGCTTCAAACAACCTCAGCATTTAAACTAAACAACTGAACACTTCTGGTGACATTCCAAGCGCAGTTTGGATATCATCATGGCTAATTTCACTCTGTTGGCTTCTCTTCTACGTTATTCAGCGGAACTACAGTCACAACGCTCTCTAAAATTCCATAGCCAGGGTAGATTCCGCCGATCTACACTTCTTGTACCCCTTGAAAACTGCTCTGTCCCCATGATAATACTAAAGTTTTCGTCTTTTGATTCTGGTTATTACTTCACGGTCTTTGTTTCTCCTTCCCGAATGTTTTGGTGGTCTCTATTCTATTTTGTTTAAGGTCTCCAACCTCTACAGCATATAAGAAAATGGAAAGTACGTAAAAGCAAAACCTTTTCATAATATTAAAAGTTCTTCGAAATGTTTTACAGCGATATACTTTACATTACATGTGAAGCGGGGACTAGATGGAGCCGTACCACGCACCGAGGTCATCTCTTTTCTATTGCAAAATAAAAAACGGACCTTTACCAACAACAAGCCGATATCGCTTCGGGCCGAAAACTAGGTACGAAGACGACAATACTCTGTGTAGCGAAAACAAAATGTCCGGCATCTGTGCGTAGCTTCTCGACCGTAATCGTAGTAGAACAATTCGTTAACTCGATGTTTACTAATTGTAATAATTGTTGTCCACAAACTCTGTCGCTCTGCAACTACGTAATTAGGTAGTTGCCTAGATGCTATTGTCTCGTCCGTTCGGTCCGCCGGGTTCAGCGATTCCCACGAATTTTCGAATGCCTAAAGCCGCCCGACAAACACGCGGACGAGGCGACGTAGTTTGCAAAGGGAAAGTAAAAAAGGGAGGGACTGGCTTGGTAATAAGCATTTATTTAAAAAATTCCTTAAAAAATTAAAAGGAAACAATTTCAAATTAATTGAAAATAAAAACGAATTGAATACTAAAAGCTATCGACACATACGATAATATAGTACATAGGGATACGACACTGGTTAATAATCAGAACAAGTGGAAAATATGACTAGGGCAATGAGTATCTCAACCGAATTGGTTTAATAAAATTTGTAGCAATTTATTTCCATACTCCGCAGTGTAAAAATATCTGTATGTATGATATTAACAAGTACTAAAATAAATTTTACATTTTAAAAAGCAAAATTATTAATTAGAATTCACATAGAATTAAAACACTAAATCATATTCATTGTAATGTTTTCGTACCTACCTATCTACGTAAAGCATATTGTACTTTTCGTACAAGCCGGCAAACAAACTAATCGAAATTGTAGCGACCTGAATCCCTCCCTTTTTTTAATTTCTCTACTGTAGTTAGTCAATCGGTGTCAGCTGGGACAGACCCATGTCCGATATACTAATGATAACGGATCTAAACGAACACTCTCCGTACATCTGTGTGTCATTCGATGTGTAACCCATTACCAAAATTAAACCAGCTCCAAAAACCACGGTCTTTGCATTTCGTACACCTACTCGCACGCTTCTCTGCGACGGGACAACGTGGGATTCAGTTCTAGGTACGCGAACAGTTTAATCGTATATGAACGACTTTTATCGAACCCGCTACGCTCTGTCCCAACTGGCACGCGTCTCATGTTTGTCTCGCAGTCACCTCCTCTACGTGAATGTGCTTTGCTTGATGAAATTTAGTGCGTAGGGCGCTTTTCTTCCTCTCTTTTTCTTTGTCTGTCCGTTGTGGTTGTTGTCCGGTTTGATGCGAATGAGACAAGCCGAGATCGACGAGCGATATGGCGGGTGGCCAGGCTTTGCTTATCTACTGATGACACCCCATTTGAGAAACGATTCACTTATATTGTTTTTGAGTTTCTATAAAGCATTGAACCCCAAATATATAACAAACACCATAGTTGGCATTAATTTTGTATTAAATTTAAAATAAGTAACACGTTCTTGTCTCCGAAAATTCAAACATTCAGAAAAGCACTTAAAATTGTTTTGAACTATTTAATATTAAACGTAATCCTATGATAACTGGTCATTGACCTCGGCTAGCCTTAATCGTGCTCTAATCAATACGCCCCTCTGGGCTTTCTTCTCTTTCCTCGCCTGGATAGTAGGTACGAGTTTTCTTAGTGGCGACTGAGACCGTTACTTTTCGTTTTCAGGAACAACTGGCTAAAGAACGTACCGTTTCCGGTAGAGTTCAGATCCAGGTGTGGTACCACGATGAGAGGAAAGAGCTCGTGGTGGCGGTACTGGCCGGCGACGATCTCGCTCAGAGGGACGACAGTCTTGGTTTTGGCTCATTGCCCGAAGCTTACGCTCGACTCTGTCTCCTGCCTCTAACGTAAATATGCTATATATATGACTAGTTTATTATAGAACCGGCTTTGCTTATCTACTAATGATACCCTTTTTCGATTCAGTTATATTTTTAAGAGATTGTGTTTTTTTTTGCACGAAATGACTCAAAGTCGTTATTATACAGTCTGGGACAGACAATAATGTGCAAGTCCCTGTTGCGAAGGTCAATTCAAGTCTATAACAAGTTTGTTACAATTACTATAACAACTCGTACTAAAGCGTATTATATTGTTTTCCAAATAGCATGTTTATTTTGTGGGTCAGACGAATAGTTTCTAAAAAAAATAAGCTAAAGTCAAAAATTTACAGTGGATCGATTTCTATGTAAAATAACTCTCAATTCAGTTAAAAATGTCTGTAATGTCTCGATATTTAAAATGGATCTCCAACAAACCCTACAAAATGAATGAGCAAATGAACAAGAATACTCTTTTCTTCAGAGTTGATCAAATACTCCTAGCCAAAATCACGATGTGCCAAGAAAACTGATGGAAGAGTATTGGAAATGGGCTTCAGAAGTCAACGGTGGAAAAGACAGACGCCAAATAACACGTGGCAGAAAACTAGATGAGGGAATAACAAGGCAATGGGTCCAAACTATCTCCAAACCTAACAAGAAAACGGAAGTAGGCTATGGCAACTACAATGGACTGGAGAAAAAAAGGACGTTGTACAACGAACGCTCTAAACTCACATCTATCTCTTATGAACCACCCTATATATAAGATCGCTTACGTAAATAACTGAATTTTCAACAAATTTAAAAAACATGCAGAGCATTTTTTAATTGGACCCTTTTTTAATTCGATTTTTCCGTGCGGTAGACCAATCGAGCTAAAATTAAAACTTGCTTACTCGCGCGGAACGTTCCCGAAGGAATAACGTATCGGATCGCCCGCAGAGCAAGGATAATATCGTATTATCGCGCCCGCTAGAGTGCCGAGGTGGAATTAGATATCGAGACGACCAATTTTTTTCGACGCCCGACGCTTTGAACTCTGCCGCCACCACTCTAATCCCGCTCCTGGTTTATCGATTAGTCGCCGAAGGCGAAGTCCGTAATAAATTAAACTTCGCCCAGCGAGTGATCGCTATATGGTACGAGAGCATATTTTGTTGTCGAATTGTGTTCGATAGCGCTTCCCTTGACTACTTCATCAAACGTCAACAAAGACAAGACTGTTGCCTTGCTGAACAGCTCTACCCAACGGGTCGTAAATCTCAATGCCAGTCAATGGTCATATTTATCCGTTCTATTCGTGCTGTTTATGAATGACGCTGTTGGCTTCTTCAAGATATTATTGTCGACACGCATCTGCTATTAAAGTTTCTTCCCTCACTTCTCAAGGACCACATAAAGCAAGGCAGAAGTAGTGCTGTGAAGAGGTCGAAAACCAGATTGAGTGTCTGGGAGGATTTCGTTGTCGAACCGACGAAGTTGTTTAGCTGCAATTTTTTCGACAACCTTTGAGATGGTTGGCCTAAAATTGTTAGATACTCTTTCTGTGGAACGGGTATGGTAACGGTAATATAGCAATTTGTCCATTCGTACGTTTGCTTGAATAAGCGTTTTAAGCAATTTCTAGAATGGTTTAACAAACCCGTTTCAGAACGGAAGAGCACTGCATGCAGACAGAAGTGGCGCCTGCCAGTCAGAATCCCATCTGGAACGCCAACCTGAGCTTCGTCAATGTACCGCCCGACGAGCTCATGGAACGGATACTCGAGATAACCCTGTGGGACCTCATACCTCACCACGAACACGCGTTCTTGGGTGAATGCTCGGTTGACTTGCAAAAGGCGTTCCTGGACGATCGCGCGGTCTGGTGCCGATTGGAGGATCCCAGACAATTGAGGGGTAAATCGCCTCACACGTCGCCAAGAGGTTCCATAGCCGGAACCGGAAAAAGAAACGACTTCGGCAACCAGCGCAGCGTTTCTGACGACGTCGATTCAATCGGTAAGCGTTCGTTCGCTCAAACGCAAAGCAATAATAGGGGCCATAAGTTCTGGGTAGTAGTGGGTTTTCGTTACTTCAGCATCGCCCGTCGTCTGGGGTGACCTTGAGGGAACTAATGCAATGGAGATGGCGGCAGAGGTCCCTAACCATTGTAATTGAACGCCGAACGAATAAAAAAATAATATATTTTTATTAACATATTAATATATTTTATTCCGGTAATTTTGCAAAAACGGAAAAATTAAGCACCCACCGCGAAACCTTTCTAATTGTGACTGTCCTGCTGCTCTTCAGAAATCCATCTCCGTTACTTCTAGCGTTGTATTGGTCGTTTGTTTTTAGTTGTGAAACTTCATCACGGTATGTGACTATGCTTTTTATTTTATAAAAGATGTGTTCAGCATACCCATTGCCCTTCTCGGGTGTTCCATCTTTTCGATTGCGTAATACAATTCACCATTCTCTGATTCTCTGGTTCTTCGATTGTCTTTCTCTTCCTCACCGTTTTCTTTTGTTTTTTCTCCGCATCCTTTGAGAGTAACCAGGTTTTTATTCGTTTTCTCGTAGCTGAAGGATCATTTAAATATGTCAGACTGAATTTTTCTAAAAAAACTTCCACGGATTCTTACGTCGCTTATTGAGGAATCTTCAGAAACTCTTTTGCAAACTACTCTGTACCTGGTCATATGCTGTCTGAGGTGCATAAACATGTCCCAGGTTTGTGTAAAGAGAAAACCTTAATCAGGGTGGAAGTTTTTCTGTGGATTATCGGATTTTTCTTTGGTAAATAATAATAATAAAGGACCACAGTGGCAATTGTGCTGTGACAGTATTTATTAAAGTAATAGCATGTCCTTTTTGGATATAATAAAATGCAATTTGATGAAATTAAGATTCTGAACACAATTCCGAATGCTTAGGGGTTAGTTATTTGCGAACCTATGGATTTTATATGGCACCAGTCCCCGAAACTCACTCAAGAATGATATTGAAAGTTACCGTGCCAAGCGAAATCTCTAAACAAACAATTCTCTTTCGGTTTCTGCCGAAGATTTTTGCTTAACGCGGTTTTCTTCGGGCAGGCGAGTGCGCCAGTTTGCTGCACCCGGACCACGCGTGGGGCTCTCGGCGGGGCTCCTCCCAGTCCGAGCAGCTCGAGGTCGAAGTGTATCAGTTGGGAAAGGACTTTTCCCGATCACTTCCCGGCTCCAGGAGGTCGTCGTTCCAGTCCGCGCAAGAACAAGCGGAACAAGAGGCGGTTCCGGTACCGCCACCGCCTTCGTACAGCCGCGACAGACGGAGGAGCAGCTGCACCCGGATGCTCCGAGACCCGGAGGAGATTTTAAAGTCCCTGAAAGCGGTCAAAGGGGAACTGGGAAGGACGATGAGCTTGACAGCGGAAAAGAGAAGAAGTAAGTAACGATCTTGTTGTCGTACCCGCATGGCGATCCTCTCTCTCTATCTCTCTCTTTCTCTCTCGTTGACAACTAATGACCCTTTTTCTCTTCTTGTACATCCACACAAATATTTAGGGGATCTATAGCCGAACGTCGCCGGTAAGGAACAACTTTCGTCGTATGTTGTGCTCATAGGAAGCGCTTTCCATTCCCATGTTTTTTTTGTGTTCTCGTCCCACACACATCTCCATTTCTGTTTTCGATTATTCATCGAATGTCCGCTCATAAGCCATAGTAGTTGCTGCTCGTTTTCCGGGCTTTATTTTTAGCTCCATACCGCGAGGTGAGTAGTAGTCGAAGTGTTGCCTTAGAGGTAATTGCAATTGTAACCAGCACACTGTTTAAGAGTCAGACAATACGTGGTTAGCCTCACGTTAAGACGTCACCTTCTTATTTTTAAAATAATATATATATGGTAAAATAATGGTAATAGGTGATACTGGATATGGCCATATGCATTTCTGTCACGTAAAAGCAAGTGGAAATTAACCTGCAGGCGACGTGCACTAAGTTTTTCAAAACGGTCTGCTACAAATAAAAAAAGTGAAAAAATGGCATAAGTCGATGCAATCAGGTGTTTAATTTAAGCATAAATTTACATTTTCTAAAATAAAATTAAACAGTATATAAAGCTTATTACAATTCATTATGAAAATGCCCATCTAAATATTTTCTTATAGATTTGAAAAAATACTGTGGAACACGATTGATTCGCACACTAAAGACTTTAAGTGCCCATAAAAAAAATCTATCGGATTAAGATCTGGTGAGCAAGGCGGCCAAGCTAGAGCTCCGCCCCGACCAATCCCTCGATGTTCAAATGCCTGATTTAAATCCCTTCGTAGAGCCAATGTAAAATGGGGTGAAGGCCATCTTGCATTAACCACTTGTTTCCCCATTACGCGATCCGTTAAAGAAATGCGGTCCTATAAGTTTATCTCTTATAATCCCTGCCCATACATTTGTAGAAAACCGGCGTTGATGTTTCCCTTCAATTTTTGAATGCGGCTTTTCAAGGTTTCACTGATGAATATTTCGAAAATTTAAAATGTCATCACGACTGCAATTTTGAATTTTTACTAAAATTTGATTGTATATAATTACTCTCAATTGCTCATCAACCTCATACTCTGTTTGAACCCTTTGAACATGAAACGGTCGAGGATCATTTTCATACAAAACTTCCCAAACTCTAGAGCAAGCAATTCTTTCCTAAGCAGCAAGTTTTCTCGTTCATTTTGAAGTATTCTTTCTTTTCTTACAGCGGTTCATTTATACCTTGGTATCCTTGATATAGATAGATAGAACACTGAAGGAGAACGACTGGGACTGAAGATCAATATAGACAAGACGAAGGTAATGGTGGTTGGCAGAACACGCAATTAAATATAAGAGTAAAAAACAAGAACATCCAAAAGGTCACTAAGAAGATCTAGATCCAGACTTAGACGGGATCGAGCGAGCCAGAACAGCATTCATTAATAGAAGAACCTTGCCAAGCAACAGTGGACTTAACGCTTCGATATCGCTTTATAAAATGTTACCATACTGCTATATGGTGTACAAACCTGGACCATAAAGGCCAACGTGATGAATCGAAGGCTACTCAAAATTTCCTGTACCGATCACACAACAAATGTTGAAGTATTAAATTCAATGGGCAGAGAAAGAGAATTGTTGCCAATAATAAAAAGAAGAAAAACTGCCTATATTTCAAAATTCCGAGTACCAGTTCTTAAAACATGTAATGGAAGAAAAGATAGAAGGAAAAACTCATGGCTAAAATATATAAGGTATTGGACAAGTCTCGATGCGCCACACAAGATCGAGAGGAATATGCCAGAATTGTTTGAATGTCTTCTGTGTATGTTGATGAATGTCTTAGCAAATGGAACGTTTTTATTAGGGTAAGCGTCAATATAAAGCCGTCGTGTTTGATCTGCATTTCCATTTGCTCTTCCGTTACGCATATCACGATATTCAGTATTTGAATATTCCTGATGGGCTATCACAGTGGCAGTTGGATAATAATCTATTTTAATAGAAACTAATTTTTAAAAGATTGTGACGGTGACTTTTTCAAATTTCATTGGGTAAAATCACGATTTGTGACTTAACGATAACATTTATCGACTTAAAAAGAAGAGTAACAATTTTTGATGATTTGTAATTCTGTTTAAGGCTATCTGTTCTATTTTTGCAATATCAGTCTAAATAGATCAGGGAAAACAAAAAAAATCTGGGTAAAGTGCCCTCTAGTGACAGATTTTTGAAGCACTTTTATTTTGTACTTTTACTAATTCATGCCTACGTGTAAAATACCAGTTTATTTCGTTAAGAATTCAGCCCACTGCGTTTAAAATAATATTTACTATTATTTTACCACGTTGGAACTTTCCTCTAAGTTTCCGAACTCAATTTCCCTGTATATTTTTCACCAATATTATTTTTCTGATAAAGTCGTTCTTAAGTCACGAAATTTGACATCAACTAAGGACGCAGGAACTAAAGACGCTAAAAATGAAAAGATATAAATAATGCAACGAAATACATTTTAATCTAGAGGTTCTGAACAAATACGTCAAATACGACGTCAAAAGAAGCTTGGGTGTCTCCTTACCGAAATTTAGTTGCTCCCTATAGTTAGTCCAACTTAAAGGGCAGGTTAGTGGGAACGGTCGTCCATAGAGAAAACTAGTCGAAAGAGAGTTGCTGAATCAATATCGGAACACTATTTACTAGCGCCACCGTGAACAGAACGAACTAAATTGGAATGACGAAAGTTGTCTTAGAGGAAAGCAACTGCAACATTTCTTGACTAACGTAGTCAAGTAAAACGCAACACGAAACAAAAAATAATAACATCAAATAAACTGAAAGTTTGCGAAAAAAAAATTCTTTTCTAGTTGAATGCACTGTATCATTGTGCGAGGAGCTCTGCAAATGCGGATTTCAAAAATATACAGCACATTATAGTTATTATTATAGGTTTAATTATTACTTAATTGTGGTTTCCTTAAAATGAAAAATCTGAAATATTAAAAGTAACAACAATACAATAATAGACCTATACCATCTACAAAGACATTTAAACGTATTTCTTTTTCACTTCAATGGAATAAATGCTTGGAGAGGAGAAGAAAGCAAACCGTTCCAAACCAGGATGAATCGTTAGACGTCCATTTCTATTATATTGGTAGAATGGGTACAATTCTACAAAATGAAACATTTTTTTATCTGCAATTTTTATTGGACTCTTCTGTACACCCTTTACGCAATTTATTTAACCTCAGCTTGTTTTAGAGTTTTGACTGAATTTTGATCATTATTTCAAACCAAACGAGTGGACGCATAGTATAAAATGAAACAATAATAACTCAACTCGGCATTTTGATTTACACATAACCTATAACTCATACAAAATGACGCACGGGCCCACCAGCTGACATTTAATGCAGCGTGACGTCACAAGGAGACATTTAGAAAAATAATTATCAGATAGCGCGATGTTTGCTTCAAGTTCAAAATTTATTTTATTCTTATTTATTTGCTTTCGAAAAAAAGTGGTCCATTCTCACGACAAAACCATCGGGCGAGAAAACCTTTAAAGTGGAAGTGTTAACATGGATTTTTTAACTTTTAAGCAAGAGGGGAGACATTCCAAATTGACATTCTTTCTTTCCGTTAGTTTTCTCTGTGTGGTCGTCAGTACGGAACGACTATTTCAAACTAACCGGCGGCTGTTCTAGGTGTTCCGAGTCTTATATAAGTTTCCGTCAAATTAGAAGATCTCCCCAAAATTTTCAGGATCTAGCGCAGCGTCCAATCGCAAAAACAGCGTAATGGAGGTGGCAGAAACCAAAGAGATCAAAGAATCGTCGCCGCCGTCGAGCCCCGAGAGGGCTTCGCCCCCCCGCCTGGGCCCCGGACAAATCAAGCCTCGCGGCTTCAGACTGTCCGGCACCAAGCCGGTCGAAATCAAACTGGGCCTGTTGATGACCAAAGGTCAACTGGAGGTCGAGGTACGACCCCACGAAAATCCCAACCAACAACTAAACGTTCTTTTAAATAACATAACTCCAAAATCTGTTAAAAAACGAATATTCTGCATATTTCTAGTCCAAAAGGTACGACTTACTTGAAAAACATTGCTAGTGAATTCTACAACATAACACAACAAGCAAAAACAGAAAAAAGTGAGTTTTTTTTGTAAATTGCGCTCTATTTGGTCTAGCTTACAGCACAGCATAGGTAACTATTGACAAAAATTCCTAAAGGATGCCTTCGTAATGAAAGGGTCTGGCCTAATACATCATCCTCCAGGTTTGTTAATATATTCAAACAGTGGAACAACTTCTAAATAGATTGTCATAAAATGACGACCGATTCTTCTAACGACCCCCGCAATTATCTCATAGCGGATATAAGATCCTGTCTGGCGTGGAATAACATATAACAAATAAATATACATCCGCATAAGACGAACACTATTTTTTAAATTTATAGGCACTGCGCCTGTATCACTTCAAATGACGAATATACAAAACAATATTTTATATTAAACGACACTAATTTCAACCGATTTCTACATTATATGGGACCGGGCAGGAGCAAAGTCCGCCATGTGCAATGATTCCCTTCAAAAGTCCGAACTGTGGTTATGACCACAGATCTTCTTCTTCTACAATTCTACAATTTTCTGCACAATGGGCACGTCTTCCGGAGACGTTCGTCCATTTCGGAACCACAGATTATTATTACATTGGTTGGCTGGTATGCCCTATGAACTTAAATAAAAGAGATGGATTATCTATTACCAATTAGCGATTTTTTATTTATATAGTCTAACCTGTTGTTGATCAATTCAATGAAATAAAAAAAAAAACATTTTACAATTTTTTATTTGTGTTGAAGGAAGAACCTCTTGTAACTACTAGCCGTGTTTTGAAAATGCATCACGCGAAAGTGCTAAAAATCTACTCAAAACAATATTCCAAAGAAAGTATAATCATAGTGCACACTTACTTATTGAGGTTATGTTAGAAATATCCAGCGAAGAGTGTTAGTTGAGAACCCTCCGATAGGTGGTGTGCGCGCGACACATAGCCCCCAAAGAAGCACCGCCGGACACTTACGTCAAGTGTTACCTGCGTGACGGCGAGAGGTGGCTGCAAAAGAAGAAGACCAGGGTGTGCAGGCATTCTTGCGAGCCTCAATTCAGGCAGACCTTAAAGTATCAGGCGTGCGACGTGCTGGGGAGGAGTTTGGTGAGTAGAAACGCCAAGGAGTACAGCATCTTTGAAAGCGTCGAGCGTCTCCGTTGCAGGTCGTGATGCTCTGGGAACGCCAAGGAGGATTCGAGCATAATCAAGGTCTGGGCGGGGCTGAGGTAGCGCTAGACTCGCTTACCCTCACCCACCTGAACGTCGGTTGGTATCCCCTGTTTCCGATTCACTCTCTAGGTAGCGATTCGAACGATTCGCCTTGACCTGGAGGAGAGTCGCCCACGGAGGAGTCCCCCGGCTGATTCTGGAGGAGCCGGTGTTTGGGTTTGGTTAGGTGCATGTAACGTCGTCGCCATTTGTAACGAAAGAACAGATGAACGCGCTTCGCTTATATAAAAACATACCGAGTGTCCCATTAAGAGCGGAAAAGAAATCAATTAGTTTTCGAGTTTTCGAAATAGCTGCCCAATTTTAGTTATAAGAAAATTAAAAAAAATTAAGATACTACTTTTTTACAACATTACGCATCCTAACCTAAAACATTAATAAAATAACCTAAACTTTGGCAGGCACTTCTACCTTTCCGGTTTTTTATTAATGTCCAGCCGAAAAAAATGTCGTGCCAAAACCAAAGAATTACTAGTTTTTTTAAGTAAACATTTATATTTGATTTAATTTTACCATTCTTATCCTAAATAATAAATTTTCGTTTTATTTGGTAAATTCGAGATGATTAGACATTATAACAGCAAACGATAAAGCGGAAATGTTTAGTTTACTCACTTTTAAGGTGAATATAAACATGGGTTGTTGAGTCTTTTTTACTATCTACCACGTCCTTGAATTTTTTCAAAAGCACAGTAAAAGCCATGCAACGCTTTAAGGTTTTTTGGAATCATCAACCTTTATTTCCGAAAAAGATTTGAATTAATCTCGACTTGAAAACAATACTGACTTCAACTGTGGTTAACCTTAGTAAATGTTGTATACATCGCCCCCTGACGGCCGTTTCAGCAACTCGAAAATAACTATCAGCCTGGGACGCCCGGTACAAAAAAACTCGGTGTATTATGTGTAGGTAAATGTAAATTTACGTAGGGGGCCTGTTTTTTTTTTGGGGGGGGGAGGTAGGTTATATATTGCATTAAATTTTTCGTTGTTCGCGTCAATGCGAGGACCAACGTTTACACCAAATACACTTTATAAGGATCCCGATTGGGCGAACGCCCACGGCGCACTTGCCCGACCCGGCGGTCAAAGAAGAATATGCTCCATCCTACGGATTGGGCCGTATCTTAAACGGAAACTCCCCCTTCCGTTAAGTCGATTTTATTATTAATTAATTAAATATTAATCTTCCGCCGGTTCGCTCCTTCAGAATGGGGAGTTTTCCTTTGAAAGCGTACTATTTGGCCCACATTGTACATCCTTCGCGTCTCGTTAATCTCGCAGAGACTCTCTTTTTTGATATTGGGATGTAAATTTCTCTAGAATAAAATACCTGTCACTAAACAGGTGATTACGTTAGAAGTAGACTTTCGTTATGGTTTCCGTTCTTTGCCGCGTTCGGTTAAAGAGCATATTGCTGTAAGAATAACACCAAACTCCTTAGTGCTAGATTTGTAACAAAAAAAAACACAACTATGCCATAGTAAGAACGAACGCGCCAAGATATAAAGACAATATTCTATTATTAAAATTTGGTTAAACAGTGAAAATATAATACGCCGTCGAGAAACTTCGCGGGGACACAGACCGCGAAATATCTGGTGGAAAAGAAGCAGAACTTCAAAGCCGTCTCGATATAAGTGGTGGCGTTTTGAAGCTTGTAAACAATTCTCGTCCGTGCGTTAAAACCAGGGAAAAAATGCACGTGAGTAATATGTATTTTAAAACGTCATTGATCGGAGCCTCAATCGGTCGTGATTGCAAAAAAAAGGAAAATATTTATATAGCAATATGCGGCAATCGCATCAAACGCCGGCTTTCTTCCGTTCTAAAAATGCGTTGTTTTCGAATGCATCCCAGTATTGATGACGGTTTGCGCTTCGAATAGCAATAGACAAAACATCGAACGGCGGACATTGTTTCGCGGCTACCTTAGCTGTTATGTTTAAACTGCTACGATACGATCTTTCGATTCGACCCTCACCTACGGAGAACTTAAAAATTTAACTTGTCGCGTTGCGTTTTGGGCTGATCTGCCAACGCCGTTTCTAAAATAAAATTCGAAAAAATTACCCATGTGTTTTTGCAACGCAAACGACAAGCTTGGTTAGTTCTAACGGCCATCGGCGTAACCTTCTATGCTTCAGAAAACGACTGAATAATAGGTACTAATAATGTGAACGTATCCATACACAACGCCATATAATCTATCCCACGACTGTTTGTAGATGTTTTCCTGTACTTCTTATCGTGTCGAAACCATAGCTAGGCCGATATTAAACGGCTTTGTTTGTACACGTCAATCGATGGCCTAACATAATTGAAACATGACAATCTTCTAAACCTAGGTAGTTTATTGTTAAACGATTACGTAATAAGTGTTGCGCTGTTAAATGTGTGTCGACATATCCCTTCGTACGTATAGCTAGCGACAATCTGTCATATGTGATGTTTATCATATCGGTTCTGTACATAACCGTAAACTTATTCTGGCGGCGCCGCAGAAACTAGACGGCGTTGAATGTTTGGCAAGTTTCGGCCCCATACGTTAGCAACGTTGGGCCACTGTCAAATATTTAACGTTCAATCAGAAACTTAGGATATTTGATATGAAAGAAGCAGAGAAGTGTTCTTGGGCTTTGTTGATAAAGCCCGGTAAACACGACGCAATTTCTGGGCTTATTTTTTTCACGTAAATATCGCAACGCGTCGAATTGCAAAAAATTTAACATATAAAATAAATTATTTTTCGTTTTCAACAAAGTCGAAATCACGAAAGGTTGTCTATAAATCTAAGTAATAATTTTATGAGCTGGTAGAATGCTCAAGAATATAGACAGATTAAATATATGATTATAAAAAGTGCCAATAGATTGTTTGTTTAAAAATCTTGTAGAGCGAGTCAAAAAACTGTACCTATTTTAATATGCAACCTAAATTAGTTATAAAAGTAAGAGAATTGCAACAGAAATTGGTTTTAGAAAGTACAGAAATGGTGGATATTGGATTTTATGCAGCACTTCACACAAAAATCCTCAAGCTGTCATATGGTATCATTGCGCTAAAACAGGCTAAAAATTATCGTTCGTAATACCCAAATATAAAAAACAACCTTTAAAAACAAAATTCCACCAAAATAACGGAGCCCATTTTGCTCAACAAAATGGCGTCTCGTCTGCCATCAAAAAATCGTGTCTACCGGGCTTAACGGTGCGAACAGGCGTCGGTGGTGACTTTTTCTTCTCCTCCACGCTATAAAAGTGCCTCCTCGCTCTCCCACCTGATTGCGTCACATACCCTCTAAAAAAAGTTACATAAACTTTCGACAAAAGATTTGCAAAAGTTTTGGCCAATTTCCGAAGGAAACTATTTGCGAAAATACCGCTCAATCGTGTACTAGATGGTAGTTTAAATTTCGTATACATAGATCTCTTCCACAGAACATAGCGAGATTTGTCAGTGGCCATGTATTAGTAACTTTGCGTATCAACATAGCCATTATATTTGTCTAGTAGGCGTATCTCAGAGAATTACTCGTGCATATCGCGAGTTTCGGCAGCAAAGGGCGGTGAGGCTACCGTCAACGTATTTATTTAGAGAAATATTTAACGAATTGTGAAAAAAAAAACAGCCACATTGCAAATTATCCCGTCACATGACGTTTTATATTTTTTAATCGGCTGGGATTGCGGGGAAGGGTGCGTCAGGTCGAGTATGCCTCAAGGGCAGCTTAAGTGTGACGTCACGGAAACAAACTGACTATACTTATTTAACGTTAAAATTTTGTAACGACTCGTTGTATTTCGCTATGGAATTTTAACGTCCATTGTACTTCGGAGTAATTATGCCAATCAGAACTAACTTTAAGCGGTGTTATAGTTGTGCCAGCGTTATACAACTGAATATTTCTTTCTATGGAAAAATTTTACGAGGTTATTTTCACAGGGGTTTATAAGTGTGTTGCAAACCGAATTATTTTTGTTATATTAAAGAGATTAATATAAATGTGTTGTTCATAATATATTATATATAAATGTAAGAAATGGATAAAAAATACACCTATTTCCATTTATTTGTCGTTTTATTTAATGGTACATCCAATTTTATATTCAATTTATTTTAAAAAAACACTAAAAATATTTCTTTCATTTTACGTGGAATTTAGACCCGAACTATTCTGTTTCTGCGACAAGAACGCCAGGTGGCCTTTGGGACACTTATTGGCGTAGTGTCCCTTCGTCCCGCACTTATAACACGTCACGTCCTCGAGCCTCTTTGGCATCATCTTTTGAATGAATGTGTTTTGTATGTCGCCATCTTTCCTAACCTCCTCGGTCCCCAAGAGCTGCAGCTCTTTGTTGTGGTGGTGCTCGCTCATCTTGTTGCAATGGATCGCCTTGTGGCCGTGCTCGCCGCAAAAGTGACAAATGATAACGGGCGTCTTCTTCTGGTCGGACTTGTTTTGATCGGGCGGAGCAGGAATTTCGAATCGAGGATGCATGAACTTGCACTTGGCGCCGTCCGGGCAAAAGCCAGACAAATAGTTCGTGCAGAGCACCCGTCTCACGTGCCGGTGTCTGCAGTGCGGGCCGTGCCTGCAGAAACCCCTGTCATACCACGGGCAGTCTTTGATTTTGCTTTCTGGATCGATATGCAGAAAGGGGCACTCCTTGTTGTGGCACGCGTTGAAACGCGAATAAAAATAACACTCGGGCATTTTGGTCATGTCGTATTCGTGGAGAAACTCGCACTGGTCCCCCTTTTTGCAGAGCCCGCGCAGCCAGTGTTTACAGACGATGGTTCGGTCGCCCCTGACGTGCCGGAACGGGCAGTTGGGCCCCTTCGCACAACCGACGGTGCCGAAAAACTGACACACCGCCGCCGTCGATTCTAAAACGCGACCACAGTAAGATATATTCCATTAACGGTCGTCCTAAAACCACTTACTGTCCATTCCGGAAAACGGCAGTGGAAGAGCCCCATATTGCTCATCCAACGCGACCTCTATATCGAATTTAAAGTGTTCTACGTTGGCCACTAAAGATTCCATAGCAGTTAATTTAAAAATAATACGACTTGTAGTAAAATGTTTACACTGGGCATCACGGACCGACAAAAGTTTCTATGGTATGACAGAACGGGGCCATTGTCTTCTTTTTTTTGTTGACGCAAAGTATTGGCATAAGTAGGCAGAAAACGTGGATTCGCAGGGGAATTATTGCCCATGGACATTGCTCCTGCTGGATAAAATGTAGATTCGGTTGAAAATAGTGTTCGTCATGGGCAGATATGTATGGATTTGTCCTACGTAGGAGTTTTCCTTCGGGAATTTTATACCATGATTATCTGTTTGCGTAAACTTGCCGAATGACCTTGGTAGACTCGCCCATTAAGATTAAAAAAAGGGTAAGTCGAGCAACGCGTGCTGGATTGGCGGCAATCGGAACCGCATAGACAAAAAATAATCGGAACCACATAGACAAAAAATCGAGCGTAAACTATGATAATTGGTTTATTCTGCTTATGCCTGTTGATAACAATACTTAATAGTTTATTGTAGGGCAACTGTTGAATACTATTTAACAGTTCGTCAAGGTGCCCGTAGATAGCGTTAACACTCAAAGCGATCTGGATCGCTTGCCCGAACCGATCCAGAGACAGCTGCATGGCGGGATCACACAAGATCGAAAAATTACCGAGCTTCGCGTCCTCTTTATTCTTTAAATCCCTGTAATAGTACAATATTAGGGGCGAAATCGAGGCGGACAGGTGCTGCGCGTAAATGGCCTTGGACGAATTACTCCTCGGTATTTCCAAGATGCTCCCGAGCAGATTCAAATAGAGGTTGGAGTAAATCTCGTCGTTTTGTTGATATATCGGGGCCAAGATGCACCATCGAAGCAGGCCCGCGATAGGGGTGGTCGCCTCCATCGCAATGGCCCCCGGGGGCAATACGGCTTGTCGTTGCTGGGCAGCGACGCAAAGTAGCGGATTCGCCGACACCTGGAACACAGTAGCCACTTAAAAAAATGGCCACGGCCGAAATAACCCGCGTTACCCAATCGGCGACACATTGCAACAATTTGATAGGAGGGAACATCGTGTCCTTCTTCGGTAGAAAGTAATTTTCCGCGATAGCCGTCAAGAAGTTCGCCGTAAACTGGGGTGCGATGTTGGGCAAAGCTTTCAGCTTTTCGTTCGGGTTATGGGCCAGGTGGAAATAATCGTTGACCAAGCTCTCCGCGAGTTTGCAGCTATTGGCCGAAGTGCTCCCCAGCTGCTGCATCCACGTACTGGTCGACATTAGTATGGTCGGAGATGGTATGCCGATTGCTAAGGACACTAACTTGCTCAGAATGCTCAGCCTCAGCGCGGCGGTAGTGGGACTAAACAGGTTCAAAAATAAGGTGTTGCGGGAAGATTCGTTCGGTATTTTGTTCAAGTATTCGAACAGAATGTCCAGGAGCTGCAGCTCAGTGAATGGGGTCATCGGGTAGTTCCGCTTGTGTCCCCTGCGGTCCACTTCGTAGAACACAAACTCCGCCATTAGATCCAAGGAAAGGTCCATGTTCTTTATGCTCGTTATCCGGGCGCATATTAACTCGACTGCAAACAAACAGGACGTAGTTTTCTTCTATGAGTGAGCGACCACCGAAAACCTATTTTGTTTAGAGCTTCTTGGGCACACAGCGGGTACTCCATTTTCCGAAGAGTTTGTTTCAAATTCACTTCCGAGGAAGCGGACATCTCGACCAACTTTAAAATACCAAAATATTTCTTTTATTCTAATGGCCAACTATATTAAGGGCCATTGGGCCAGCTGACAAATATTCATCTCGTATGAGATATCTGATCACGTCTGGCCTGGTTACCAACAAGAATATAAGACATCGTGACACCTGACAATCCACACACAAAACAAGCCCTAATTCATAAAACTATAGGCACCACGCGTCTAAAAATTCAATTAAAATATGGACTTATCGAATCCATATTGCTCTTCTTACAGAGTACGGCATAGATATTCATAAATGGCCCATAGGCCTCGGCGTACCTCGCCACCTTCTGGCCGAATTGACATTTCCCGGTTTGGTGCGCATGATGTGAATTGTCGACTTTTGGAGCACGGTGTTTTCGTTTAACAGCCATGTTGACCTGTATGGGACTGGATTTCTATCTTTCGGCGAGGACTTGAGGCGTTTTCCACACGAGAACATTATGCCCAAGTGCGATGTCAAGACCAGATACATACCAGCAACGTTCGCGTGGACTTTGCTGATTGTAGCCACCACTTTGTTCTTCTATTACCCGTGAGTTATTTTTACGTCTGTTTATGTTTCCAAATTTAGCGATCGGGGTTTATTTCCGTAGTGCCCAGTACTATATACCCAAACACCCATGGGTGCCCGCGTACCAGGGAGTTATCACATTTTTCGTGTTGGCAAATTTTACGTTAGCAACTTTCATGGACCCGGGGATCATACCCAAAGGTAAGGATTCTCCTGTCAATATTATATATGCAGCTTTTTTTTTTTTAATTAGTAGTCATGAGCTTTTTAATTCTTTTACAGCGCCCCCTGACGAAGATAGGGAAGATGATTTTAGGGCACCTTTGTATAAAAATGTAGATATTAATGGTATTACAGTTAGGATGAAGTGGTGTGTTACGTGTAAATTTTATAGGCCACCGAGATGTTCACATTGTAGCGTTTGCAATCATTGTATAGAGGTAAGTGTACAATAAGAGCATTTCATAAACTCCCTTAATTGCGCTTCTCTTGCGGGTTATAAATAAACCGGCCTAAAATAAGTCAAAGTCTAGAGGTATTAATATATGTTGCGGAAATAAGTGTAAATGGTGCCTGTGCAGTATGCTTTCCGGAAAAAGCACTCATTTATTTTAGATAAAACCTTCACGTCTCACAACGGAAATTTGTTTTAGACATTTGACCATCACTGTCCTTGGGTAAACAATTGTATAGGCAGAAGGAACTACCGGTTCTTCTTTTTCTTCCTCATATCGCTCAGTATACATATGATAAGCATATTCTCGCTGAGTCTCGTCTACGTTCTCCACTACACACGGAGCTTTACGAATACCGAGCCAATCGTCGCTATGGTACTCATGGGTCTGGTTGCGCTCCTCGCTATCCCGATTTTCGGACTGACGTGTTTCCATATGGTGCTGGTGTCACGTGGCCGTACTACCAATGAACAGGTCACCGGTAAATTTAACGGCGGTTACAACCCGTTCTCTCGGGGATGCTGGGACAACTGCTGTTACACCCAGTTCGGACCGCAGTACCCCAGGTAAGCGTTCACTTTCCCCCCTACCACATCCTGGAAGGAACTATTGTAATGTTTTGAATTGCCGATGGTAAAATTAAAGCAACCCTTTTGGTTTAGTATGGAGTACCTACTTTTAAAATAACTGTGCGATGTTGTGTAAAGTGGTTGTAAATCTCCAGACAGGTCGATGCATTTGAACTACTCAATTGAATTTTCGTTTAAAAAAGGAAACTAGTAGTGACCTTAAAAATGGGAGTCGACACTGAAAAATTATGAAACAACTGGATAGACGCATAAGTACAAGTGTTTGAAATGACCCCGAATATTCTGCAACGCGAGCTTCGGCCAGTGCATTTGAACTACACCAGGTGCTAACTTAAGTTAGTTTGATTTAAATCATGGTTTCAAATTTTAAAGAATAATCAAGTGATTTAAACCCAACTCCCACCCTGGATATAGGGGGAACACCACAAATGGTCGAAAATCCCGAGCGGCGTTCGGTCCCGTTTCGGAAAGTTTTGGTGAGTTTCATTTCGCGAGGGATCAGGATGTAGCAGACTGTCAAATGGTTTACTTTGTAATTTGACATTCGATACTAAATACGTATAATCCGACTACGAATTAGGAAAAGGGTGCTTGTTTTAAAGATACAGGACGTACATCGGGTGCTAAATTCTCAAAGAACACATGAATTCCTATGTATACCATCAATTATTGTTTCCAAAAAAATATAGGTTAATTTTATCGAAGGGTGCTGCAACCAAAAAAATATTTTTTGTTAACCCGAGTATCTTTTGAAAATTTTGTTGTCATTATCGCCCCGTATTTATTACAGCCACCTTTATTACAGCTTAATTCCTGTTTAAAAAAAGTAATAAAATGTTAACTTAGTAAGATAAATCATTTTAAATAAGTTTCAAAACTGATATCCCTGATAAAATCGCTGGTTCTAACCTAAACATTCTGTCACTCGATCACGTATACCTCACCTCTCAGCTGTTGGCGGATCGGCTGTTACCAACCACCCCTCCGCCCTAACCCGAACGCCGTTCGGAATTTTCGGCCATTTGAACATTCGTTCATTTGCTACCATCTCGAACAAATGCACATTTTAGCATTTGTGGTTTTCCCTATGGAAACGTATTATTCGGAAACAATCGTGAAACATCGGCATCGGTAAAGCAATTTGCCACGTCGACGGTGATTTTTCGAAGAAGCGGCAATGTCGCTGCGTTAATCTAACCGAATTTTCAGCTTGATCAAGCCGCACAAGTACAACGCAAAGCGGAAACACTGTCCGCACGGTCCGATCGCGACGATCACGAACGACAGCCAAGTGAAGACGTACATGGACAACAGCAACGGAGTGCGCGGCATCAATTCGCACGCGTACAACAAGGTGAGAGACGCGCAGAAACGTCGCCTCGCCCACTTTCTCATGCCTCAATGAAGGCGGCATACTTTCAGATGTCCCCCGGCAGGGAGGGCTGCGAAATGGACATGGAACCGTCCGCGTCGCAGTCGCAGGACTGCGAGCCCACCCCGCCCCTCCAACGGCACGGCTCGAAGAGTAACTTTTTCCTGCCGCCGGCGGGCGACCAGGGCGGCGATTCGCCCCGCCATCCGGCGGCGGTCGTCGTGCCGCGGGGCCTCCACTATCCGGCGAGGGGCAGCCCGCACCCGCGGCCCCGCGGACTCGATCCCCTGCGGGGCCCCACACCCGACAATTTAGGTATTTATTTCTTTAATCAAATTTACAACCTATTGGCATCAACAAAGGCAACACACAATACAACCAAATGCAGGATTTTACTCTTTATTTTTGTTATTAAATTCACAACATATAGGTATAAACAAATCCAACACATAATAAAATAAAATATTTGATTTTACTGTTTATTTATTTATTTTTTGTGTTATTAAATTCACAACATATTAGTATTAACAAATGCAACAGGATAATAAGAAAATATAGCATTATATTATTCCTTTATTTATTGCATCAAATTCACAACTTATTGGTATAAACGAATGCAATACATATTAAAGCAAAATATAGGATTTTGTTATTTATTTATTTATTTAATAAATTTCACAACACTTTGGAATTAACAAAAGCAACAAATAATAAAATAAAACATAGAATTTTGTTATGTGTTTATTTAATCAAATTGACCGTAAATATCAAAAATAACATTATAGGACTTTTATAATTGTTTATCTCAACCTCAATTTTGACAATACCTCCCAATTATAAATATTTTACACCTTGGCACGACTACAACTCAAGCATAGTCACTTTTATCATGCACAAGCACCCTACAAGCTCTTCAGTGATTTTCTTTTTATTAAAGGATAAAAATTTACACATTGGATTTTTTATTTATTCGATAAAATAAACGTTTTTATTGTTTTTATTATCAAATATAATAAAATAATATATTGATTTTTTATATTTGTTTATTTATTTATTTATTTATTTAATCAAATTCACAACATGTTGTTTTCTGCACTGGAATGCTCTTCTTTAGCTAATATACGAATACCGTACCATACTGAATAGACACTGTAATATGGAAAGAGTGAAAATTGGGGTCTGGAAGAGATTTAAATTATAACGATTACATTTGGTTTGAGTAATTAGGGTAAGTTGTGAGCCATTTAATCAGTAATAACCTCAGTTTAACTTTAACCAGAATAAAGGAACAGCTTCAACATGTTAGGGAGAGGAAAGCTGTGATATCATGTCCGAACGAACAAATCAAGTTTGATTTTTTCCTCAACTAGCGTGACCATTTTAGTATATGATAAATTTTATTTTAAACTTTGCAGGTCCTCAAAGGGCGTCCCCGACCATGCAGCAGAGGATCAAGGCTCTGGGGGTGCCGACGCCATTGGCCATGTCCAGTCCCGTAAGAAGGTAAGGTGCGGATGCCTTTCCGGCAGGTGGTGTTTTATTAGTTTTCCGGTAGCTCAAACGTACCGTCACGCGGTGGTCTGTTGGTCAAATTTTTTCATTTTGGTGGTAAATCATCGCTTAACAATTTCTGCACTATCGCATTTTTTTATTTTGGACAGCAATAATACATTGGATACGTACAAAGTGACGCGCAAATAATTCCGGTAGTTCAAATGCAACACCACCATCGCGCAAATTGTAAATCGTAGTTTGAACGTACTTTCGCCGCAGTTTATTGTTTATTTTACAAAACACTGTTATGTTGACATCTATGAATCATTAACTATCTTACTAATACAACGTAATATACAGTATTCACTATTTATCGTTAATTAAAATGATAAACTGATTTAAAAAAATGTTTTTTTTGAGTTACTTAGTACATGTATATATGAATATAATAGATGCGACAATTGTTTAGTACTTTCTGAAAGTTTTTTTTTAATTAAAAATCGCGTTTGCGGGGGGTGGGGGGGTCCAGGAAAAAAATCCATTCTTTATATTTTTCAACAATGTACAGGATGTACGCAAAAAACTGAAAATTTTACTCTCCTTGTAATGGTAATTGAGCGTAACTAGAAAACTATGCTTCAGTTGGCAGACTTTTTTACATGACACACACACACATATTGTACAGGGTGACCGAGTTATTCTGCGCTATATTAAAAAACGTAATAGGTGTTTTAAATTTGCAGCTGTCGATTTCAAATTAATCAGAAAAGTAAAAGTCCATACCCATATCTAAACCAAATATATTTTTTTAATTTTCGTATTTTTGTTTTGGGTTATTTCGGCTTCCAGAAAAAAAATATTTTCTGTAAAAGTTATCATGTAATAACTAGAAAATTCCTGCATAATGGTATCGAAGGAAATTATAAATAAAAGCGACCCCAGTGTGCTTTCCTGAGGGACTCCAGTGATAACTGGAGCTTAAGATGAACTAACCGAGATATCTTTTTAAATTAGTTTTTTATTTCTACCATATAATGACACTATAGCTTCCTCTGTCGAATGGCCTTTACGAAAACCAAATTGGTAATCACTTCAAAAATTTTCTTTGTTCAAAAATGATTCTGATCTTTTATTATGCATGAAGTATTACGAATTGGGACTATAACTGTCTTTTTCAATGCATCGGGGAGTCTAGCCTCTCTAAAAAATCTTTTCAGAATATTTCTCCAACCTATCACTCACCGGGACTAACTGTAATCGAATTTACATGGAATGTAGTCAATATATATTATCAATGGAAGGTCTTTTGTTTTTGTCAATTTTTGTGTATACTTAGACCAAAAATATAGCGCATTTACAACCGACCCCGCGATTAACCTGCTACTGTTTATTACTCCAAAGCCGCAGCCTCTTTATCAATAATTTTTTTTACAATTGACTTCGGAACTTTGATCATGTGATTTGTTTTCATTGCTGCTCCTACTTCCCCTTCTGAATTTCTTTAAAAGTTGTAAAATCAAAACAATTTGTCTTCGTCTTCTAAATTGTTGTTAGGTCTTCAAATTCTACGTCGTTTTTCATGCCTTCTTCTAACAGGGGAACATCTGCTTCATTCGACGGTCTCCACATTTTAATGTGTTAAAGAAAAGGAACCCCCAAAAATGTTCAATTGTAGGATTCTAATAAATGTATCTACCTTATTTATCTACTAAGAAAAGAAACTATACTCTTAAAAAAGACTGGTTTACAAAAGAATATTGTTAATCGACAGGCACCCAAGACAAAAATGATTATTTGACCTGTAAGATATATAAATAGAGTACAAATTACCTTACCCTTACGCTTTGAAACAGCCTCGCAAGGTCAAAGCTTGAGAATCAGGTACATAAATACGTACTTACTTGAAGGATCACAGTCAAATGCCTCGGTAATATATACGAACATATTGTAATTTAGATTAAACTGTTAAGAACGATGCATATCACCTGATGTTGAAATAAACTCTTCCACTTATTCAAAAATACCCCGCAGCATCAATGTTTGATCAAATTTAAAACGTTTCAAAAAGAAATTCAAGTTTCTACCAGCATTCATTACGGTCCATCTCAGGATGGGTTTTAAAAAACTTAAAAGGTCGTAGGAATAAATGTACTATATTTTTGGTCGTATTATACCTCTGTTTCTTTGACAGTGACTCGAATCAATCAATTTGACGTAGATCGCAAAACAGTTTCGGGTAATTGGAAGTAACACAAGCTTTCAAGTATTTAAATTTTGAATTTGTACAAAGTAGAAACGCACTCAATTCCAAAATTAAATTACTCTGGAAGTTGTAAATATACGTTTACAAACTTTTATTACGATTTTTTTTCGTTTTGTTTATTCAGGAATTGATATTGAAAATGTAGATTTGCGTTTTGCATATTTTATTCTATCAAATATGTTTGCCACAATGTCTTGCTAACGTAAGCTGATACGTTCGTTGGTTTGTTAAATCGAGTGTATGTTTATCGCAAAAATGATTCAGTGAGTTGACTGAAATACGTCATTTATTTAATTTTAAAAAAAGTCTGTTATCGTCAGCATCATACGTTCCACTATTTAGTTTTGGCGGTACAATCATCATTACTGCTTTACTTTTTATAAAACTTCTGGATTCCTTCTGCGTCGGTTTTTGTTGACTCGTTCGAGTAGTTTTGTAAAGAATATTACAGTAGCCTGCGGAGGTTCCTTTGAAAAATCATTGATGCTTTTATTGAGCCCAAAACTTGAAAATAAATGATGCGTCTTTACACTACGCACCTTCAAAACGGACGGTCGAAGTCTCCACATAGAACAGCTTGCAAGTAATTTTCCGGCCAAACCGTGTGTTTTCGTTTTTCTAGGTGGACGTGATCGTCGAGCTTTCGCTTTTTATCTCTGTACCCGCCCGCACCCCCTCCCCTATTGTAGTCGCTCGTGCTATCCGCAGGTCGAACCCGAGCACGCCTACTCAGCCGCGTCGGCCCGACTTCATCGGCGTCGTCTACCAGAACCAGTCCGGGCCATACTACGAGTTTCAGGGGGCGGACGCGGCCACCCACCAACGTCAGACGACGTCCCAGGCGTACGGCGGCAGTCCGCAGAGGCGGTTCATGTCCGAGGGCGAGCTTGTCCGCCAGGAGGCGCAGCTGTCGTATCCGAGGTCGAACAATACTGTCGACAACATCAGGGAGTTAGCGAACTCGCCGCAGAGGGGCGTCTACATGTGGAAGGACACTTCGCCCGGTTACCCGCCCCCCGCACCTCAACAGCCCGACTTTTACCGGTCGAACCCTACTAGTCCGACGCAGCAGGTGTACGCCCAACAGCCGAGGACTTACCATCCCGCGACGAGGGGTGGGGTCGCAGTTTATCCGCCGCAGAGTCCCCAGGTGCACCGGAAATTGGGGCCGGCGTCCGACAACAGACGACGACCGATGTCTTTCGTGAGGGCGCTTGAAATGTCGGACGGGGTCGAATTAAACGCGCAGAATTCGCAATGTCCTACGCAGAGACCGCCCACACCGGACCGCACCAGCGTCTACGACATGAACTACGAGATATCGGTATAGGACAGGTGTCGGCACTCGTACCGCCGGAACGAGTGTTAGTTTCTCTGTATCAGAGATCCCCCCTCTCTCCCGTACCTCCCCCCCCCAACCACGGGTCCTTTTACGACGACCGCGGATGTAACATAAAACGTCACCTTTCAACGATATCGGCCCCCCCCAAAAATAGATGCGACGACATTTTTGGTGGTTATGTTGTTGCGGAACCCCCTTCATGCATCTACATACACCAAAAAAAAAAGCGTTTTGTCAAATTTTAACGGTAAAATGGTGAAAATAACGATCATGTCGGTTCGATAACGTCGATCGAAATGAAACGGGAACAACGGAGTTAATGATTTTATTAGACTTTAACCCTTGTCTCCGCAAAAGTGCCACACAGACGGCCGTTTTTTACGTCATCGGTCATAGAAGCGTACTTGTGGGGTCTTTTAAAAAAAGACTTTTTTTAGTCAAATAACTTTTGAAAACACACTTTTGAAAAATATTAAAAATTATAAAAAAGACGCCTAAACCATTTATTAGAATTTTTCCATTGTGTGGTAGATCTGAAAACATGGAGTTCCACACAAGTCTCTGTGACTTTTCTTACACATATATCTGGAAACCTTTCTATGTTTTTCCTTTGCTGTTGAGCCTTTGCTTCTAGAGCCGGTTTTTGTCTTTTCCGTTGAGGGAAGTAATGTGGGGAAATGTCTGTTCTGTATTCTGGCTATATCAGCAGTTGCAGAAACAGAAGTGGGCTTGTTGCCATTGGATTTGTATCTGCAACAACAAAAATTAACGTCATTGAGAATAATCGGCAATATATGTGAATAATAGCCATTAAAATGTATACAAACCTTTTGAAAATTCCATGTAAAAGATTTTATTGAAACTGGACAAGTCTGTTTCATGTAAAACATGGCATCCAATGTATGAAAGACTAATCTCTTGTACCATTTTATATTCTTCCTCATGATATCCCATTTGTTTATTATAGTTAATCACACATTCAGGTGGCATTGTCAGTTTTATCAAGTGTAACCATTTTGTTTTTGTGCATTATTGTTATCGTCATCGTGTCTCTCCTGTCTTTCCATTTCAAAACCTGTCATCTTTTTCTAATTGTTCTTTTACAATCGGCATAGGTCTAACAGTCCCACAAGAATTTTTTTTTTTTGTAAAGAAAATATGATAAGATCGGACTGCTATAGGAATTATCTGTAAACAAGGAGTGACCTTTGTTTAGATGCGGTTTCATGAGCTGAGCAGTTGTTCCCAATTGTATGGCGTTTATTTGTTATATATTGCTTAAAAAGAAGTATTCCATTAAACAGTATCATACTTTCATCAATCACAAAAAGTTAGAATTGTGTGATAGAAACCTTCGCTTATTGATCTTACTTTATGTAATATATCACCAGTTTCAGCATTCTCGTTGTTTGAAAAATGCATTTTTTTAGCATTTTTGTAAGTATGTCTTTTGCCATTTTTTTGCTGGAAAGTATAAAAGAGGATCTGTTGACCAATATGTGAAAAACTCATCTAAATCAAGATATATAGCATGTATAGCATATCAGTTATGAAAGGAGATATATCTTCAGTAAAAAGATTGAACAAATAATCTGTTTTTGGTGAGTCTTCTCTCAATGTCATGTCCTTTACTCCACTCTGGCTGTCATCAAGTTCACGCAACTTAGACACAAAGTTCTTTTTTGTCCAGTGCTTCATCGATGTCTTCTGCAAAACTGTTTCCTTCATCCGCTAACATCGCTTAGCATATATTCGCTACCACTTTCTATAAATGGGTCCTCTTCACCTCTTATTATTTGTTTTTGTTTTGTAAAACACTTACACGTGACTATCATTGCAAAAGTCATTAAATAATTTCATCACTTGATAGAGAACACCTTTAATCAGCTCTTTTAATAACTTAGGGCAATCCACTAATTAATTGAGAGAGAGAATTAATGAATGACTCATACAATTGCTGTGATTTTTCCAATAAAGGGCATAGTCAAACATCACATGACTTAAATTCGCAGTGTCCAAAGGGTGCAACTTTAATTCTATTTAGATTGTGCAGGAGAACAACAATGGTTGCTTCTCAGTCTACACATAGATCTAGATCCAGCTTACGAAACCTGTGTTTAGATTAGAAATAGATTTCTATCTGTCGCCCCAAGCATTCCGGATGTTATGCTTTAATTTAGGCAAAAACTCTCTAAAACTCAATTTTATATTCTCCTGTGATCCTAAGCGAGCAGCATTGGGAATCTGGTCAGCAATATAGTTCTCTTTTATTATGGTATGGCTAGGTATCCAGCATAGTTAGATGTCCTTTTTTTGAGTTTTTATTAAGGTAATTAGTTGTACTGAAGTGGCTTTTACTTGATGAAAATCCATTTAAAATAGTTAAATAAGAACAAATGTGAAAATCTGAACAACGTTTGTTTTTATTTAACTAAGGTAATTAGGTTATTTTTTCAGTTGATATCTTCAAGGGCCACTTTTCGGGTGTGAAAAGGTGACTGCTTTGTTGATGTCATCGAATTCAATCCAATAGCGTAAATGTGGGCAGAGCAAGTCAGGTTATTTTCATGCAGTCTTCTTCTCACTGAATAATTTCGGATTTTTTACGTCTTGTATTGTTTGTTCTCGCCGATTGTTAATTAATAATCCAATAAATATGAAGCCTGCATTTCCATAACCATTTCCATTTTACCACAGTCTTAGCGTTACAGCAAACGTGCCGTAAAAACAAATAATCCGTGAAAGAGTGCTTTATTCTACTTTCACCGGTTGTTTTGGTTTCATTAAAACCGGATAAAATAAACAAAACATTTGCTTCAGTCGTGGGAATTTTTCTTTTCCACCATTTTTTTTCTTGCTTTGAGAAACATTCTTCACCACTTAATTTTGTCCTTCCAGCTATCCTCTCGTCTTCTCTTCTCATTGGATCCATGCATATCATTTCTGATACTTATGCGATAAAACTCAACATAACACTTAAACAAATTTATGCACGCTTCTTCATATAATAGCTTACTGTCTGTCCATTTATAAAATTTATCTACACTGACGTGTATGGTAATCTTTCGGTAACCTTTAAAATGTATTAAATTAATCACCTCAATCTCATGGTAAGTCACATGACGATCTTGCAAAATAAGTTTCCGCACTGCATCAGTGTGCAGGACAACCACCGATTTTGGACAATCCTCACGAAATTTATCCTTAAGAATATTAAGACCACGACTGAAGTCCGAAAACCAGCGGTAAACAGTAGTCCTAGATAGTGTTTTAACTCCAAAAGTCGAATTAAGTTCATCGATGCATTGTTGAGTTAATCCATATCTAAATTTGTAAAAAAATAATGCACGAAAATGTTTCCAAGTTCCAGTTATCACAAAAAACAAACACTCTTTCGCCAAAACCTCACCTCGAAATATCAAAATTCAATATAAAAACGTTAATCGCCAGATGGCAGGACTAGTTTAAGAAAATCCCGAAACAAATACGGCTTTATAGACACGTAGTGAATAGGTTTATCAAAAATTTATTCTGGCAAAATACTTTACGTATAACATACAAAAAGTGACGATCGAAATCAATAATAATTCTTTACGCCCATTACGCGCACAAAGCAAAAAATCATTGTAAATATTGTAAGCTTCTTAAAAATGGAGCAATATTGTTCTTATGATTTTTTGTTATGATAACAACCACTCTATTTACAGAGGATTTCACAGCATAAACGAGTACTTATTTTGTTAATTCGATAAGACTTTCTCAGTTTTACTTCGTTATTCTGACCGACTGAGGTAAGAAAAAAACACTCCTCTTTATAAAAGAATTAACTTTCTTTCAGGCAAATTCTTATCACATCATGAAGTTTACTATGTTTTTTATATATAAATAGCGACTGCTCTATAACCATCTTAACCTTTGTTTATTGTTGTTTACTGTTGCCTTGCTTTACTTAATGCAATCGATTGACGTCATCGAACTGATTTGACTTAAGCGAAGTGATCGACATATATATTTGAGACTACGCTTTACTGTAGAACATAACCTCGAAAGATGAGAAAAACCCGAAAGAAAAATATTAACTTCTAACAACTATGATTTTATTATTTTATATATATATATATATATATATATATATATATATATATATATATATATATATATATATATATATATATATATATATATATTTTTAATAAATTCTTTCCAATTTTAACCGTGAAGTAGCGAAAATAAAAATAATTATTACGAAAACTCTATCGAGTATTTCAAACGTACCGTAGCGGTGACACGCTTGGTACCGTCTAATAACGTTCCTTTTTATCACCTGTCGCGCGAATTGAATATGAAAAAAAAAATAATTTTTTGATTTTTCAGTTTTTAAGTTACATTAGCCATCGAGATTGGTCGAAAATGGTCTACGGTTTGCAAAAATATCTCGAAAAGTAATTATTGCCGAAAATATCGCAAAAATTGTCTAGAAATTAATTGCCAAGTGCCTAGGGTGGCTGATAGAGGGCTAGCGAGAGAGAATCGTGCCAAAATAAATTGGGTGGGGGGGGGGGTCGGATCCGTTTTTATTTAAATAAATAAAATTAAATAGAAAACGAGTTGGACCTCGTTTAAAAGAACGTACCGCCTTTTCTAGACGCTGGGGCAATAATTTTCTCAACCTTTGGATTATTTTCACTCCGTTTTGACGGAAATTTTATTTTAATAAATTATGTACGCGGTCGTTCGAAATTCATTGCCATTTCGAGCAATTCAATGCAACGGAATCCTAAGAACCTTAAATATAAAGGGTGGATTTAATAAATTAGGGGAAGGTGGGTAACACTGGGACACTAATTTTTCTTTTCATATTATTTAAAACAAAAAAAAAGAAATCTGTTCTTTTGTCTATCCGATTTAATTTGATTTTTGTATGTGGTTTGGAATGAAAATTATAACAAATAATGAAGTTGTCATTTGTCACAGTTACGTGGTACTATGAGACGCGATATTAACTAGTCTTTATTTATTTTAAAAACTTATGTTAACATTCAAAATCCACATTGAAACACAACAAAATGGTTGCTAAGTGTAAAAAAGCGGTAATTTTCATCGAAGGTCCAGGTTAAATTTAATTTTAAACGAATAATAAGAATTCTGCCTTTTTGTTTTTCCATTCACTTCTGGCGATAATGGCAAGATCTGGAACTTCTGGAAAATAAAACTTTCCTTTCATTTTCAGGCTTTTCTTTAAAAATGTTATTACCAATTCATGATTCTTTGATGATAATATTTTTCCAATATAATAAATGGGTTTTCCTTTTAAGTTTTGTGGAGAGAATTCTACTAGGACGTAATCATTAATCTCAGGAAATTTGTGTAGTTCTTCAATTGCTGTAGGATCTATTTCAACATCAAAGTAATCAGAAGAACCATCTGACTGTCAAAAAGGGAAATACCTCATTTTTTAAATGCAGATGTAATATTTATTGGCATTGGTGTCATTGGTGACCTCTAGGAACAATTCGGAAATTCGGTGACTTTACTGACTCATTTAGCCGCTGATTTTTGAACAGTATCTGTCCCTGTTTCGTTCAAATTAAATATTCTAGTACCATCACAAAATCGTTTATCCAATTATCAAAAAAATTGTATATTCTAGGATTTTTCTAAGAAACCCCGCATCCACTCCAAGCCTGCTATTTGCTTGTAGTTTTTATCTTATTTGTGCCATTTCCTAGGTCGATTTTCGGCATTCAATTAATGGCATTCCATAAAACATTTGGGAGCATTTAATAATATAGTCGGCCAAAGACTTTCTTGATTTTCATTAAACACTGTATACATCGCATTTCTGCGATGTATTCGTTTTTTTTTCTTCTTTTTTTACATGTCTGTCTTACTATATAATAACATTGATAGTGTCTGGAAACTTAAACATAACTCCTTCTACTGCACTTGTCATTTGTTCCTCCGAAAAATTTACCACATTAGCCTTTCTGGGTGGATTTCTAGGAATATTGACACTTAAAACCAATTTTCCGGAAAAACTAAAAAGTATAATTTATCATAATTTTACTCGTGCTAAAATGTGGGTAACACCGAGACACGGTGTGTTACCTACTAAATAATGTCTCACTGTTACTCACGTATTGAACTACAAACTACCATATTTACCTACTTACCCTGGGACTAGAGTTTTACCGGAAACCAGCCAAGTCCCGCCAGATAAGACAGTGAACTGATAATATTAATGACAGTTCATATCAAAAGTATCAGTATCGGTAATTTGTGATCCTATATAAAACGCCGATGGACAATTTTAATGATAAATATCACACGTAAACAGCTAATGAATTGCTGACGGACAGTTTACATTACAAATTCACTTGTGATTTTATATATGAAGAAGCAAAAAAAAAACAATTTTTACCGTATTAACCGTTATATTTGATAAAATCAACAGATCCAATGATAAATATCACACGTAAACGGCTCTTAACTGATTTACATTTATTGTATATGAAATGCCAACGAACAGTTCAATCCCAAATTCACTTGTTATTTTATATAAAATGGAAAAAAACAATTTTTACCATATTATTAATTAATATGCAGTTCATTTGAAAATAAAAACTAACAACAATGATCAATATCACACGCAAGCTGTTCTTAACTGATTTTTATCACAAATATTGTATATAAACTGCAAATGAACATTTTACATCACCAATTCACTTCTTATTTTATATAAAATGAAAAAAAAAACAATTTCTACTATATTAACCGTTAATATGCAGTTGCTTTAATAATAACTATCAATCAACAGTTTCAATGAAAAAATATGACACGTAACTGATTTATATCAAAAATATTGCATATAAACTATCAATGAACAAATATCGTGTTTACAAAATGCCGTTAAATGATTTCAATATTAAACTGTTTTAATAATAAAAATGAGAAGCATAATTTGTTATAATTTTAATTGTGCTAAAATTACAGTTTTCAACGCAAAAAAGTTTTGGGTATAAACTAAACGCTGGAGAAGCCTGCATCGAGGGATGCCTTTAACTGCATCAAGTTAGTTGCGCATATGTGGAAAGACATCTGTGAAATAATAGCACAAACTAATAATAATTTCAATATCTTACTGTTGCCCATGTTCCCCTTGTCATCAAACATTGGACTCTGGCAAATAGTCCACAATTTTTCCGGTGCCAAAGCGTATTTTTTTTATGTCTGCGCGTTTTCGAAATGCATCAGGGAGCCCGCGAGAGATTGTAAATATTCGTGTAAAATCCCCGTCCTCCCCTCCCTAAATGTTAGGTTAGGTGTTTGTCGGAAGGAAGATAATCGATTACGATCGGTTTATTTCGCGAAAGTGTCGCGGACGTTTGCGATCGCAAAATGGCCGATCGTATTAAACATTCCCCACGAAGGATGTGCAAAATATCAAAAAAAAAAAATGGACGTGCTAACTTATTTTTTAAACGACAGTGGTAATATAACGTGCGTGTGCGTGTGGTATAAATCCTTTTACGTGTACTTATTTATAACCGTTGGGTTTTTGTTAAACGTCATTGTGGAATAAAAGAACCGTTCGTTTTTCTCATTTCAAACTCGGGATCCGTCGAAGTTTATTTTGTATTTTAATTTTATTAACACTTTGATAACAATATTTTTATGCACTACTGGATTTTACAATAAAATATTTGTTTCGCATCCGTTCTTGCACCTCCCGCATCGATAAATAAATAAATAGCGCAACACATGCGCGGCTTACGTTCACGTACGCCTTAATCGGAGGCTGTTCTTGTAGCCCCTGCACCGTTTCACCAGCTCGAACTTGCGGTAGCGCATGCAGTGCCACTGCGGCACCTGGGACATCGCGATCAACGCCTACAATCACGCCGTCACTCAAATTCCCATAAAAAAAACACTTTATACGGTGAGTATACAACGTTTAATCTGAAGCAATCAATTACGTCCACAATGTCGCCGTGTCGTTGACACATACGAGCCTCTTTTGGTTCAGTTTAAAACGCATCGAGACCAATTCACCCGCCGACTTCGATTACGTACCTGATCGATGCCTCCGATCGGCGCGGTAACCACAGAATCGAATCGTGCGATTGCCAGGATCACGCAAATGCACAGGCCGTTGTACCGAGAGCACTTCATTTTCAGAGAAAAAAAAACGGATTTCTTCGACGCTCGACCGATCCCGATAATATATATACACTGCACCGATCTGGAGCGACCCAATTTGCGAGTTAAATAAATAATTTCTTAGACCTAGTTTCGACGTGCCGCGTGTTTCTGCGGTCTAATTTAAGGCGGGCCGCTGTTTGGCGTCACGTACGAACCTTAAGGACTAAATTGCGTCTAATTGGAAGCGGTTCGCTTTAGCGGTCGGCATCTGGATATATGAAATTCACAAACCGGCGTGGATTCAATAGTTGGGCGAATGTCCACTTCAGATTTGGCCCTTCAGACAAATAGGAAGATGTTCTCCTATCGATGTCATGATCCTCTCGTATTGTTGTGTCAATCGTTCATTTTACGAGGAACGAATCAATCACTGACCGATTTCGAAAACGACCGAATCATTTAAATCAATCGCTCATTTCAATACTTTTTGTTGCCAACATAAGTGGCAATAATCACTGAATCCGAACAGTCCGAACGACTGATTCAGATTCATTTGAATGTGAATTATTGTGGTGTCTATATCTTCTGTTTGCTGTTTTAGTTAGTATATATAACTGTGTACTGCTTTTTATTACATCATGATTTTATCAAAATAGGTGCTACGTATTGGGTTGTAGCAGTAATACATTAATTTGTTTAAATTAAATACCTGTGTGGAAATAGATATTTCATTTAATATTCAATTCAACACATAAGAAAATCTACCATCGACGTCGCAACTCAATACTATAGAATGATTATAACAATACTCCCATTCCTTTTACGTGACCTGTCTCAGTCATGCATTTAAATATTAAATCATTCAAATGAATCGTATTGCGGCGAATTCGATTTGTTTTGGTACTGTCGGTCGATCGATCGTCCCGTATTCGGTCACTTCAGGCCGGTCAGGGCGGCAGCGATAGCGAACAAGTTGAACGAATGGTTATGAACAAGCGGGATTCGGTCGTTCGATCCTATGAAGTGATTGAATCAAAGTGACCGAATCAATAGCGATTGACACAACTCTATCCTCTCCATCTGTGCACGTATAACTGACGCAGAAAGGAAAGGATATTGTCGAACAGGATGGTCGCATTATATTTACATTAAATTAATTTTTCGGTGTCGAACGATATTAAATTATGTCATGTCTGTATCGGTGAGTACCATCCGGTGTTCGTATATTATTGACAGTTTATATCAAAAGGATCGATTATAGAAATCGAGGAAAAGTTTAAATAATAAAACACCTCAAATTTGTTTTATTGCTTCCATTACAAACAGTAATCGGTCGCCAACCCAATGATCAGTTTAGAACCTTTATGATCAAGATATAATTCTAAAGCAAGTTGGAGGGAATGGCGAGGTTTAGGACCAACAACTGTGGGTACTTACCATGAAATGAGCGATATATACATCCTTAGTTATTAAACCCTACCCACCTGTAAGTTGTATGCTTTGTGTCACAAAACTTTGGTCTCTATGTAAAATGCGAAACAGGAGCAGGAAGTCGGAGATGCTGATATTAGCGACGTAGAGCCCCGTCGAAAGTAGTCCAGTTCGCCGACTTTTACCTCAAGCAAATATACTGTATATACTTATCTACGGAATAAGCATATGATTATTACTATAACATTTTAAGAACTTTTAAAACCCTCACACTAGTGGAGGCAGTCGCCGATAGATGGCGCAATAGTGGCGTCATCTCTGAAACCTGAAACTTTCTTGAGGCGAACGTCGAGAGTGGCGTCATCTTCCCAGGAATCCGGACACTACTTAGTTGAGGCGAAAGCCGTTATACCGCGAAACCGCTTAAATACATCATTTTTGGGACCGATAAACAAAATCGCACTGCCACACCACAAAGATATAATACTGGCTTGGTTTTCGCAGAATATTGACCGGAAACTATAACAAATTGAAACGAAAAAATTATAACGATACATTGCACAACCCGCCGCACGCTCATTTCAATGTTCCTGCTTTATATTTAATTGATAAGCCCACAATTCGTTTTCCTGGTTAGGAAATTTCGTTATGAAATGTGAATTAATATATAATAACCCTGCGGAAAATTTTGCGGATGAATAATTCATCCGTTATCGGTACCGCGTACGAAATAAGATGGTAAAAATTTAAAAAGTTGAATAAATATGTAGAGACATAAAATTCCCAGCTATTTTATCGTGGTTTTCCTTTCCAACTTCAGGGAATTAATGGTACTTATTGATTTTACAAAATTAGTATAAGCTCGTGAAACTAGATAACAAAGGCAATGACATGAATCCTTCCTAACCTAACTTACCTGTCTTTGTCTTTAGATTTCCGCATTATCCGGTGAACCATGCTAATGATTTAGTAATTCATTAACCTTCGAGGTTAAGTTTAGTGTAAGCCGTACCCCGTCATCCCTACGGAAAGCAGTCACAGAATAATCAACGCGCATTTTGGTTGGTTCAGAGCAGCGTAAAACGAACGTAAAGCGTACGACGTAAACCGCAACGCCGGCGAAATTCTTGGCGTTTCGGGAAATAAAAACCAAACAGAGCGATTCAGGAAATGTTCATTTCAAAATAAAAATTGTTAGTTCTCGTGTATTCTAGAAATAATTGAAAAATAACCCGCAAATTCCAATTTTAAAACATCTATCTGTCTTTCACTTTTACTCTTCCGATCGTTCCATAGTGTCGCTTCCAACTTACGGCAAAAGGATTTGTTTTCATTGATTTAATAAAAGTAGTGTAAGCTCGTGGGAATAGATAACAAAAACAATTACTTGAATCGTCCCTAACCTAACTTACCTGCGTTTAGATTGTCGCACTATCCGGTGAAGCAAAAGCTTTAGTAATTCAGGAGTTACCCAATCCTGGTCACCCCTACGGTGAAGCAGTCACAGAATAATCGACCCGGATTTTGGTTAGTTGGGAAAAGAATAACGTAAGCGTACGAGGCGAACCGCAAACCGTCGATATTCTTCGCGTTTCGGGAAACAAAAACAAAATTCAACAATTCAGGATATATTTATTAAAAAAAAAATTGTTGGTTCTCATGTATTCCATAAATAATTTAAAAACAATGCGCAAACTTCATTTTAAAACATCCCTCCTTCTGTCTCTCCCACACTTACTCCTGCGATCGTTATGTACACTTTGCTTGGAAAAAAATAACATCGTTTAAGGCACGCCTTGTTAAAGTTCACTTACAAAAATATAATTAACGACGTAACTAACCCCGCGAATTCGCCGGTCCAGACTAAACACTAAAAGAAAAAAATTGCGAGTCCGCAATTTCGGGGAACAAAGTTGCTTTGGGACGGCAAAATCCGAAGGCTCAAAAGAATCTAGGACTACATCTAAAAATAGTTGAACCTATCTATTTAAAATCACATTGATCGGCTGCGGACGCGACCGTAACCGTTACGTTTGGGTGGTCACCATGACCGGTTCCTCTTGGTCCTTCTTCTTTTCCTCGGACGACTCCTCCCGAGCTTGATCCCAAGATTGCCTCTTACCGGATCCGAATATCACATAGAAACTACAACAGAACGCGTATACCGCCGCGGCCGTGATGAACACTATCCTCCACTTGGCTATGCTGGGCTGCAAAACGGAAACCACGTGACGTTGGGTCACCTGAACCTCGAACGCCGAGACTTACCGTTCCCTTTACCATGATACCGGCGTAAATTGGAGCCAATAAACCAGCGAGGTTCGCCAGACAGTTGGTGAAAGACATCAGGATGCCGGCGAACTGAGGTGAAATATCCAGGTGGTTCACTTTAAAGCCGGAGTAGATGCCGCCGTTCAGACCCACGCCGACGGTCAAGATGGCCACCGTCAGCCACCGGTCGCAACCGGTGAACGCGGCCGCGAATAAAGCTACTGCCGGTCCGAACTGACCTGCGAATTAACCGGAAACAACTCAAATCCGAAATTCTGCCGCATAAGACAGTGAACTGATAATATTAACAACAGTTCATATCAAAAATATGGTGTATAAAATGTCGAGGAACAGTTAAAATCACGATTTTAGTTGTGATCACCGTTGGACATTTGTAATGATAAATGTCACTTCTGATAAATTGATGGCGGACAGTTTGCATCACATATTAACCGTTAATATGCAGTTGATTTGATAACAAAAACTGCCAATGACTAGTTTCAATGATAAATATCACACGTAAACTGATTTATATCACAAATATTGTATATAAACTGCCAATGAACAGTTTATATTCCAAATTCGCTTATAATTTTATATAACACAAAAAAACAATTTTTATCATATTAATATGCAGTTGATTTGATAATAATAAAAACAATCAACAGTTTCAATCATAAATACCACACGTAACTGATTTATATCATAAAGATTGCATATAAACTGCCAATGAACAAATGTCGTGTTTACAAAATGCCAATAAGTGATTTAAATATTGAACTGTTTTAATAGTTTATATCACAAATTTATATGTGACCATTTATTAATTGCAAATCATAAACAGTTACTGTGCGCTTTACATGATATTAAAAACTATTCTTGAACAATTTTAATGATAAACATAAAATGCTGATAAGTGGTTTATGAACAGCTTATATCACAAATATCATTCTGATATTACTGACATATCATATAAACTTCTTATAAATGCTTTACATCAATATTGCATATATACTGCTGTTAAACACTTTACATCACAAATGTGGTGTGCACAAAATGGCAATAAAAGATATTGTATTTACAAACTGGTAATAAATTGTTTGTATATTATGCATCAGCAGCTTATATCACAAATTTATTTGTAATTTTATATAAAATGCCGACGAACAATTTTTATTATGTAAACCGCAAATATTCAATTTATTTGATGACTAGTGGTAAGTTTTAATAATAAATATACGTAAACTGCTCATAAACGGTTTTATCATTAATATTATATATAAACTGTCAATGAGCAGCTTATATCACAAATGTCATGGGTACAAATTGTCGATAAATGATTTAAATATCAAACTGTTTCAACAGTTTTTGTGTGATCATACGTGTGTGATCGCTTATGAATTACATATCACTTGGAAAAATACTCTCGAACAATTTTAATGATAAATATAGGAAATAAGCTGCCGACGAAATTTATTTTTGTGCTGATAAATGATATAATCATTGAATATCGTGTTAGAAACCAACTCACCGATGCCATTGATTATTTTCCTAACGATGGTAATGGTAAAGTAAGGTTTGGTTAACATCCAATCGGCCACGTGACTTATGAATATGGAGAAGAGCCACATAGCGAGATACGGCAGGGCGGACAAAATTCCATTCTGTAAGAGAGAGATAACACGTTCAAGAATCGTTATAGGCGAACGTAAATCAACAATCATTTTTGCGAAAATTAAAGTTGTTGCGAAGTCGTCCGTGATATTTGCGTCGCTTTTATTGGTACAAACAATTAAGTCCCATTCCTAGGCAGCTTGCCCGAATTAGCAGCGGCAATTGTTAAAAAGGTTTTCCCAATTAAGTTCGACGTAGGTGTATACTCAATGCCAATTTTATATAGTATCTAAAGATACTACCCAAAAACGTATATAATAATAAAAGTTAAATTTTTCATGTAGGAAACACACATGATGATATTTAAGAAGTATATAATCTTCCCATGGAACATCGAAATGAGTAAAATCCATAAAATTTTCCTAGAATATTTCTATAACTATATGCATATTTATGTGGATATGTTCACTAGCAATTTTTTAATCAATAATGAATATTCTCTTAAAAATTCTATTGAAAACAAAATTTCTATTTAAATATTCCTGCATATTTATTGAATATTCCGTAGATTAAATTTTGCTGTCTGGGTACTAACATATTTAATATTAAAATATTCGTTCAATTATCAGTAGCAAATATTTAGGAAGTATAGAACATTCCCATGGCATCGAAATGAGTAAAATCCATAAAAATTTCCTAGAATATTTCTATAACTATATGCATGTTTATGTGGACACGTTCACTAGCAATTTTTTAATGAATAATGAATATTCCCTGGAAACATTCTATTTGAATATTCCTACATATTTATTGAATATTTGGTGGATTATATTTTGCTGTCGGGGCACTTACATCTTTAATACTGAAATGTAACACTTGTTTCATGTAAGTAGGCAGCTCCGTCATCAGGGTCTCGTAGCCGTAGTTGTGGCCCATGTGGGCCAACAATATGGCCCAGAACGGTAGCGATTTGACGATCGACACCCACGGAATCGGAGGAATCTGAGGAAATAAAAAAGACGATTAATGATACGTAACCTCGATGAGGTTTGCTCGGCTGAAAAAACAAAACGAGAACGTGAAGAAGGCGTCGTAGAGGGCAAAAATCCTTACAGCGGTGCCAACGATCCTGCCTAGCGATTTTTGAATGTACACCCTCTCTTCCGGATTAATCTTCGGGTTCGTATCGGGATCTTCGTAGATCCAGATGAGAAATGCGATACACCAGACGGTTCCTACTGCGCCGAATACGTAGAAAATCGAAGGCCATCCGTAATGGGAGACGGAGAGGAGGCCGGAGAGCGGCATCGAGATGACGGTACCGAATTGGGCACCTATAAAAGAAAATAAGGAAAACCTCGTCAGCCTCGGGTATGCGCGGAGGTATTGTACGACCAAAAATATAGTGCATTTGACGTTTTAAGTAATTTACAGTACCTTCGCAGGACCATGGTAAAACCCGACCCAACAACATTAAGTAGGTTTTGCCTGAAATGGACCGTAACGAATATTTGTAGAAACGGACCGTTTTAAATTTGCTTAAGCATTGATGCTGCGGGGTATTTTCGAATAAGTAGAAGGGTTTTTTTTAACATCAGGTGATACGTATCGACAATTGTTTCGAGAATACCGTGTCTTTATCAAACGTAATATTTACAAATTACCTGCTACTATATAAAAATGACAATAAAAACTGAATTAATGTTGTGAGAATTTAAGTTCAATGAAGGAGAGGTATTTAAATCTAATTGATCGTTAAGCAATACATTTGAATGTCTCATTTTGTTAATCTCCATGGCTTCCAATAAACTTAATTTTCTACTTTTTGTAAGAGTATTGTTTTTAAACGCTCTTTTATTTAATGCGTGTCTTGAGGGATCTACCTATTTGTCCAATATCAATTTTAGAACAAAATCCGCATTTCAACCTGATTTTTGAGATTTTAGACATTTCGTTTTATTGTTTTTTAAAAATGTTCCTATTGTGTTGTTAGTTCTGAAAGCTATATATATTTATATAATTTCGTGAAAATCTGAACTTTCAGTTCTTATTTATTTACATAAAAAGAATAAATACTAATAACACCAACCTAGAGCGAGTGGCCTTTTAAGATTCATACGGATAGAGTAATAATCGAATCGAATAAAACGACCGGTTTCATAAAAAAAAAAACTCAATAGATTTTAAAAACCCCAAATCTCTTCTCGCACTGTACTATGCGTTCGTTCGCAGTAAACTTTCGTTCGCTTCAGTCATTTGGAATCATAATTGCAACCTCCACATCACGCGTTTGGAACGAGTACAAAACAGATTTGATATAGACCAACATAGGATGATCACTAGATTACAAAATATATTTAACTCTCATAACTGCTCTCTTGATGTCGATATTTTTTTGCTGATGAGTGCTAAAATTTAGATTTATTCGTAAACCTATCTTTCTAAGATACAACGGGGATGCTTTTTTAGTGCTTTGCACTGTACGCGACCTAAATTGTCAATAAATAACACTTTAAAATGTGGAAACCGTGGAATGAAGCAGATGTTCCCCCGTTAGAAGAAGACATTGAAAACAACGCAGAATTTGAAGACGAAGTGAAGATGGTAGTCGAACCTAATGTCAACTTAAAAAACGGATCCATTTGTCTTCGGATGCCTAAAAAATGTTTTGAATGTTTACAATTTTATAAGAAATTCAGACGGGGAAGTAGGAGCAGCAATAAAAACCATGTGACATGACCAAAGTTCCGAAGTCAACTGTAAGAAAAAATTGTTGCACATGGGATAGCCAAGAGGAAAGTGAAGGTTATTCAAATGAAATTGAAAAATTTCGAGAACAAAATAGTCAATAATGTATTTAAACGAAAAGCATTCATATGGAAAATAATTCTTTATACTGGGTCCAAAAATTGTTGGGTGGAAGATGCCTTATTTTTATCTGGCAAAAACGTCAAAGATTCAAGTGTGGATTACCATAAAAACATGACCGCGGAAATATTTAAGGACAGATTTGAAAATAAACTGTTCCCAACTAACCAACTAACCAAATACTGTTATTGTGTTGGATTTCTGTAAGAAAATGATTTATATTTTGAAGAGAGCTACACGAAAAAACAACTTCTAAGATGATTTGGTCTGAGTTGAAAGCGCATATAAGAAGAAATAATACTGCACCAAAATTTAGTGGTAGTATTATAAACGTAATTCGGCATGAGGTAGCTAAAATATCAGCACAAAGCCGGTCTAACTATGAAAACGAGTAATAAAAGAAGAGAGAACGATTAGTGGCGAAGTTGATCATTGACGGTGACGACAGTAGCGATAGTAAAGATTTTTTTAAGCGACTGATACTTTATTATTATTATTATTATTATTATTATATTTAATATTTTGTATATTAATAATGATATTATGTAGAAATATAATGAAATAGAATGGAATTGTTACTTTGTACCAATTTTTTTATATACATGTTTCAAGAATATCCCGCTTGTTAGTGTAGGTAGATAAATTCCTAGGACGGTCCTGGAATGGTAAAGTTAGTCACGGGACCGTTTGTAAATGCACTATATTTCTGGTCCAACAATATTTGCGATCCAAATCTTTAAGAATTAAAAGAAGTCCTTATGCATACTCATTCTCATTATTAAAAAAAAAACAAAAAATGATGCAATATAAGGTTGAGCTGGCTTTTCAACCTTTAAATTCGTAAAGGTATATAACAGTCCCTCGCTTCTCTCGGTCAATACACAGGGTGTCCAAATAGTAATCTATCTTATTTGTTTTGTCAAATTAAATACAGATGAGAATACAAAAAAAAATATCAAACTTATAAGCCAAAATAGGTAAAGTTTTAATTTTGCGAAAAAAAAGATTCCTTTCTTTTCATTAATTCAGAAATTCTGCTTTCCCTAGAGCCCACAATATTATCGAACCATAAATAATGACTGCAGATGGCCTCTCTTTTAGTGTATTTAGTGGTCTTTAAATATTTGGGGTGGTATAATTGGAAATAACGTCGTCGTAGAGACTGCAAAACAAATTAAAAACTATTTCAAACAAAGCGAATGTTCCTTTGCATCACGAATCAGAGGATAAGAGAAGCCTTTGAAAGTGTTGGTAATGCAATCGTTTTACATTAAACTGTTCTTTTTGCAGTCTTATTGGTTTTTAAATGTTCCTAACTATTAGTAATATTAATGTTGCAGTTTTAATATAATTCCTCGCGCAATTGTTTTTGCAATTTTATTTTGTATTGATATATTAACCTTAATTCGTCTCTGTCGACTTTTCACGTTCAGGTAGTGTTTATTTTGTTCTCAACCTTTTGTCATCTTTCATTTTGACTCGCCGTGCATCCAACTAACTTGACGTTAAAAATACAGGGCATTTTTGACGTTGACGTAGGATGATTGAGTATAAAGTATCTATTAATGCCGTAACATACGCATACGAATTTATAAACCTAGCCTTGGATTAATTAATTAATTTCATAATTACTAATCCGTTTCTTTGAAGTGCGAGGTAATTAAACGCTGAATTGCAAGTCAAAATAGGGGCCGCCGCCCATAGGCGTGCATATTCCCAAAATATATATTTAATAAAGGGCAACGTCGACAAAACGGCGCTCAGCTTTTGGGAAGAAAACAAACTAAAAATGGTTTTTTATTTGGTTATTTGGAAAAACCATTTCGTATAAAACCGCTTTAATTAAAGTTGTTATTGGCGCAATTGACTTATGACTTGTTATTCGTAACTCTACCTTCTAACATTATCAACTTTAAACTCGATATACCAGATGGAATATCTCGAAAATAACACAAATTATTAAAAACAAAAAAAACCTTTAATTATTGAATAAAAACAAGGTTTAACACATAAAAAACGAATTATCCTATATCGTCACGCCGGTCAATATCATACAAGGTGTGTTCAAAACGTGACTTTTGTAATTAGGAGTTCTAAGTACATTTGATATTCGATTTTTTTTATTATGCTGGTACATATATCCTTAACAAATGTTCAGAGGCTATACCAGAAAGTGCTTACCGGAAGTGTATAAATAAATACTTTTTAAAAAAACTTAAAAGTCGCCTTACTTTTTGAACGCACCTCGTATAAAACTGGGTATTAACATATTTAATTATTATTATTATCGTTATTAACTGACCTCGGAACTAAGAAAATCTATCGAAACCATTCGATTGCTCCCAACCCGTGACTAAAGTAACTTGCGACAGTGTTTAATGCCCGATTAGTGCAAAACTAACTGGGGGAGGTATGGGAAACATTGGGACAGTGTTTACCAGTAATTTTTCGTTTGTTTTATGATCTGCCCGCTTTTTGGTGTAATAAGCGTTCTGGTGCTTTTCGCTAATTTAATAACATGCGGAATTATTTAAAGCCTTGAGCGGCCTTGACGTCCGCGTTACGTATTCGATATCAGGAAACTCGACAAATTATAACGGTACAATTGTGACGCACGAATTTTGCAAAATTTGCAAGCGGTTTTGCGTTTTTTGTTTCTTCTTAAGTGCACCGCATAATAAAATCCATTTATATCGGCCAATAAAAGTTTTATTGGTTGTTGTTTGGGAGCAATCCAGAGCATATATATATATTTTTTAGCGAATTAAACCTTATAATAATTAAAACAGCCGTGATGCAATTTTAACGACGCATTACCGATATAGTTCTGATTCACGCGATGTTTAGTTTTCATCATAGTCTCGTTCGATTCCAGGCAAAGACCGAAATGCCAACAAAAACGCAATATAACTTTCGGTTCTTTTTTTTTTCAAAGAAACTTTCACGGGCCTGCTGCGTCGAGTTTTGTTGAGTCGAACTTTCTAAGCATCCTGTTGGCTTCTGTAAAGTTTAACCCGAACCTGAACCTGCCACTTAAGCTACGAAGAAACCAGCAGGATGATTGGCGAAACGTCAGCAAGTTCGACTCAGCAAAAACCGAAGCAGGAGGAATACAGAAGTTTTGTAAAAATTATAACACTCCGTATCCAGTTTTCTCATCAATCGAGAAAGATTTCACGTTAGAATAACAAAAATTGGCGGTTTTGGATCTGCCGGCGTGAAAATTACAAATGCGAAACTGCGGACATATAATACGACCAAAAATATAGTGCATTTATTGCTTTGACGTCATAAGTACTTTGCAGTACCTTAACCGCTTACATTCGCAGGACCGACAGATGTTTATTCTGCATTAAGTAGGTCTTGCCTGAGATGGACCGTAACGAATTTTTGTGGAAACTTGAAATTTTTATTTGAAACCTAAATAGATCATTTTAAATTTGATTAAGCATTGAAGCTGCGAAGTATTTTCTAATAAGTGAAACAGGTGATATAGAGTTTAATCTAATGATAATTTAATAGACGAACTACCTCGGCAAAAAAATTGTTACAAATTGGATAGTCAAGTGGAAAGTGAGAGAAGATGCTGGTACTTCCGGAGTTTTTAAAGAGCAACACGCAGATCTAATTGGATTTATAACTTACGACGCTTATAAAATGAATAGTTTTAAACCTAAAAGAACTGCATAAAAAAGTACTGACAGACTTAAACATTAGTTGTGCCAATGAGTAGTTGCCTACTTTTTTCAAGAAAATGGATTTTCAGTTCCAAACAATTAATAAACGTCAAGTCCTAATGGAATTCTCAAAGAATTTCGCAATGGAGGCATTAGAATCATTCGGCCCTAATTAGAAAAATTGCAAGTATTTTTTCAAATGAAGAAGAAATTAATGAATATTTAGAAGAGCGCTACACGAAAAAAACAACTTCTGGAATTATTGAAAATAAAACATTTTAACAATTACCCCCGTATAAATGTATATTTAACCCGATTGAAATGATTTTGGTCTGAGTTGAAAGCGCATTTAAGAAGAACGAGTAATAAAAGAAGAAAATATTTATCGAGAACGATTAGTGGCGGAGTTGATCATTGAACTAGGTGACGACAATAGCGATAGTGACGACTGATACTTTATTATTATTATATTTAATATTTTGTATATTAATAATGCTACCATGTAGAAATACAACGAAATAGAACGTAATGAATTGTTACTTTGTCCTAGGGCGGTCCTGGAATGGTTACGGGTAAGGGTCTGTTCGGTAGGGTGTACTATAAGGGCCTGCGGTTTTGGAGTAATAAACAGTAGGCAAAGTTAATGACAGGGTCGGTTGTAAAAGCACTATATTTCTGGTCCAACAATATTTACGATCCACAGCTTGAGTCGAGTTAATTCCGCTATTAAAATCGATCTTTAAGTATAAAAAGAAGTCTTTATGCATATTCATACTCATTACGAATGTAAAAAAATATATGGATAAAAATACATGGTTGTAAAAGCACTATATTTCTGGTTGAAGTATACGTCCGATGACGTATTTCGTGGCCAGAGGTACGAGGAAATCGGAAAGAAGCGACCTCCTCGATTACCTCTTCCATTTCGGATAGCTTTAAAGTACCAAGTTTGAGGGGGGGGAGAGGAGCGAGAGAGTGAATCAAAGTAGTACCTGCGTATACGAATGCGCCCATACGACTCCTCTCGTTAGGGGGGATCCACTTTGCCAGCAGAGCGTGCGTGCATGGGACAATCGGACCCTGGCCGAGGAATAATGGTCAAAAACCTATCCGGGCCGTCCGGAGCGAGAAACTATCGCCCGCCATCTTGGAAACGAGACGCGAGAGATATCGTTTAAATTAAAGCCTTTCGGAAACGTCATGGGCTGCTTGATTTTTTTGGTTTCATCGAAAACAGTACACCGTTTTGACAGGTTTCGTTAGGAACCACATAATCCCAATCGTCGATTATAGAAAAATTAATAAAATATATAAAATATACGGGATGTTTGGCACTTGGTTTACGGTACGTCGGACTGGATCGATCTGCGCTGCGACGTTGCCGCTTATTCGAAAAAGTACCATCCGATTGAACTGAACATTTTTTCCTACCGAAACATGGCGTCAATAAAATTTTCGTTACTACGATGCCGGAGCCAGTTAAGACCGAGTTAAAATTTTTGACGTACATTATTTCTTAAAATCGAAATTAGTTCTATATTATAAAAGGTTGCTCGAAACTAATGACTTGCCTGCCAGATAGGAAAATGGTGAAAAGTGCAGGGAACACCCTGTATGTTATCACATATCAGTATTCTTCAGTATTCTTCCAACTTTATTTAAAGCTTTGGGGAAAGTCATAAATGTACAAATTTGCTAAATCATATTGTCACTAACAGTCAATTTTGATTTCGTAAAAGTTTTAGCACTATTAGTCTACTTTTAGTATATCTTTATATTACTCTAAAGCCTTTGATCGGATTGACCATAAACTTATGTTTTGGCTCGATTTTTTGAAAACTACTTAGCCAACAGATATCAGAGGGTTACCCTCGACAATCTAAGTTGTGAATTTCTCCCTATTTTATCGACAGAACGCATCACCCGAAAAGGAATTTAATTTGCTATCCTTAGAAGATAATATATTTTTGACTATTTTTGTATCACGTATACAAATCACTAGTTTTCACCAACCCTGTATAACGTACAACTAATCACGATATCAAGAGATAATGTACGGTACCTACGGTATATATATATTGTTTATGAGACTGATAGATTTTTCGAAAAATGAGAAAAAAAAGTATAAAGTATATCGTCGTACCTGTCAGCTATGTTAGTGAAATGGGGTAAAAAAATACCCAACACCCGATAAAAATGGATATAAGCAATAACTGAAAAATAAAACTTTTCTTTTTTACTTTTTTAACAATTTACCAGTGACGTCCGTGCCAGGAATGTTCGTTTCGTTTCGGAACCTTCGAAAACTGTCTACGATTCGTCAGATTCGAATGTCCATTTGATTCAAGCGCAACACCCGTTTACCCGATTTTTGTTTCTCGCTCCGCTCGAGCTCATCGGTCCAAAGATACTCACCTCACCCAATCCTTGAATGAACCTGACCACAATTAGCCACCAAATACCCATCTTGGCGGCGAAAGGCACCAGCAGACCGAACACCGAGTTGATCAGCATCCCGTAGCCGAGAAAGTAGATATTGCCGTAGCGTTTTGCCAATATCCCGAATGGGATCTGAGTTATGACGTAACCGTAGAAAAAGGAGGACAACACGTAGCCTTGGATGTCGGTTTCCCATACGAACTCTCCGTCCGTTTCCTTAGCGGACGCGGTCTGGAACAATCGTTTATTTTTTGTTTTTCGCTTAGCTTGCTTATAATAATAATACGCGAGACGCCCGCCCCAAAAATTAACCAAAATTTTGTATTTTCGTTGTTATAATTATAAATTCTGGTTATTTGGGGTAGGGGATAGAAAAAAAAGTTTATTCAAAAGTTTTATGGTTTACATAAAATTTTAATATTATTTATTTTTTATATACACAGCGTGTCCGATAAATGCTGGATTGACATTAGTTTTAAAATTTTAAACAGAACACCCTACATATTTTGATATTTTTAGGATCCGTTCAAAAAATAAAGGTAATTTTTATTGAAACTTCTTATTCGAATTTTGTTTAGTTCACACGGAAATTGAGATTTTCTTATGCAAAATTATATTAATTTTCCAAAGAAACTTCCACAGGCCGCTGCAATACTTTTTAGGAAATTTCTGCTGCGTCGGTTGTTGTTGGCTTCTTCAGAGCTTGACCGAAGCTGGCTCGTATTTTACTCTGTTATATATTGTTTGAGGGGGGCGTAACTAAATGAGGGGCACAAACACCATCTCGGATGACTGATTCCCATATTGATGAAAGGTAGAGGCCTGAGTCGCGGTTAAGATTGTTAGGGTGATTATACGAGGGCAGCGCCAAAATTTCCCGGCCTCCACAGCCTCTTTTAACTCAACTTCGTTGTTAAATCGCCGTCCACGTAAGTCCTTTTTCAAATATCCAAACAAATAATAGTCGCGAGGGGCCATATCTGGATTATAGGGAGGATGATCTATCTGTTTGAACCCACACTCTAAAATTGCAGCTTGTAGGCTAAATTACTTCGCATTACACTTGATAGTAGACTTGACTGGAAAGATCATATTTTATCACTGAAGCGAAAACTATCTTCCTTAGAAAAATTAGGGAGAGCCTAGACCAAAATGCCCTAATGAAATATGGCACAATATTATGGGGAAACTCTGTCAATGCTGTTCAAATATTCAGGATAGAGAAAAGGGCTACAAGAATTCATGCTGGGGCTAAGCAAAATAAACACTGAACTCCATATTTTAAAAAATATAAGATAATGACACTACCCTGTATCTATATTCTCCATAATAGTTAAGGCAACAAACGTGCGCTTGTTGCAAATACAAAAGTCTCTGTCCTCACAAATTATCGTAGCTAGCTGCTTTATGTTTATTTTCATAGTCAAGATCTCAAGAAATCATCTGCAGAAAGAGTAAGAAAAGAAAAATAGTTTGTGGTTGTTGCCTCGAATGGGTTCAGAAATGAGGATATTGGGGTGCGCCCAGTGTATAAAACGTTCTCAATATACGAATGATGATTATGATGATGATACACGAAAAAAATATAATCTTTTACACGCTAATGTAGAGTTTTGATTTTTTAAATTGGTTTAAAAGTTTTGCATTTTTTTTTATTAGTCGTTAGCTACAACTTTTCGTTACCTTTGTACTACATACGACAATCGGATAATCGGAGTCGTACTGTACTTTAATTTCTACTTTAACTAACGATTAAGCTTATACCTACCGCAGTTGATGAGGCATTATCCATTACAGCGATGCCGCACTCGGTGTCCACCGATTCGGAAGAATTGTGCTCGGTACCGATCGCGGTATGGTTTACCATTGCCACAATGGCTACCGACATGTTGGTTCTCATGATGTACGCGTTCGCCATGCCCAAGAATAACATGAAGGTGACGAAGTGTCTGGTGCCAAACAACCCTGAAACCGGAGAAAACGCAAATTTGAAAATACATTAAAAAAATAAAACAACTACAAAAACCCTCAACCGTTGACTGAAGTAAACATTGCTAGAGTTCGGTGGTTTGCTTTTTTAATATTCATTAAAGGACAAAAAACTAGGTTTTGATATATTTTTTTTGTTTTTTTAGGTGGGTATAATCTTATTTAGTTACACTAAGAAAAAACAATGACATTAAATGTATATATTACATTTTTATTCTAAATTGCTGATTCTAATTCTAATTATAATATAAAAACAGGAATAAAAATGAAAAAAAAAATAAGATACCGAACGTAACCAAACAGTAGCCAGCGTCAAGAATTGGGTAATCAGGTAATATCTTCCATTTGCTGTTTGTGTATTCATCTACAGAGAAAAAACAATGATCCAAATTCGAAGCAAATTTGAGGAGGAAGTGGGGCATTTGATGATTACTTCAATGAACTAAAAACATATTTTTTGAGTTATGAATTTCTAATACCGTGTGATGGCAGTGGCATCACCTCAAGATTCTGAAATGGTCTCTATATCCTGCGTTGGATATAATTCTGATCGCTCTTTTTTGCATACGAAACACCACAACTTCGCAGATCTTCCTTCTGAAATGTTTACATTTGTTGAAAATACTAACGAGCGAGTTTTATCCTCATTCAATTTTGGGCGATTCGCTGTAAACCTCATATTGGCATGTTCTTTTGCCAATTGCGTTTCCCCTTTAAGAGTCTCTACATTCGTGTTTGATGTTTTTAATGCAGAGTCATTTGCAAAATTAATCGCAGTCACATAATGGAACCCTGCGGAACTCCGTGCATTACATTTCGTAAACTTGACATTTTATTACCGTTTGCTTTCTGTTAGGGGGATATCTCTAGAGCAACCATAAAATTCCATCTTTGGATACAGAGTCGTGTGTATCGAACGATTTTTCATCAAGGCAGATTATGCATCTGTTGACTAATCTATATCTTGTTATTTCAAATGCCTTTTGTCGATTTTGCGGCACTTAAATCCCATTTTACACACAACGGTGGCACGCCTTATATTTATATTGGTTTCGTCTTCTTCTATCTTCTATTTCAGTTTATCCAAGGCAGGAACAACTTCGTTTTGATAAAGACAATATATTTTCCTTCTTATCAGGTCCTGATCGCTAGAGTTCGGATTTTTATGCACAGAAAATGCTTAAAATACGCGCATAAATATGTCTGATTATTTTCCATTTATTTTTTTCATATATTGATTACTGAAAATCAAGGAAAGAATAGTCAAACAACGAAAAAAAAATACCACATTACATTTATAGTTTTTAGACATAACTAAGAAGTATTTTATCAGTTGGTAGTATATTTGAAACAAGCCATTAAGCTTTCATTTACAATCTGCACACTGTTAGTTTTTTCCAACTGCTTTGTACTTATTAAAAAGATTTTGGTAAAAAATTTTTATTCAAAACAACTAATAAATTCTCGTCTATAGTAATGTAATGTAAAGATGCTGATTTTTAATATGATTTCTTATGTCTTGAATTACATTTTTGTAAATGGAACTTACATAATTTCTAATGTACTTTCAAGAGCTACATTTTTGTTGCAAAATGCTTCTAAAAACTGTTTAAATTTAGTGTCACCCAAGTGTACATTAAAATTTTCTTTATCAGTTGTTCTCGAAGAACGCAATTTTATTCTTCTTTATTCTCTCCCATCCACTTTTATGTTTTAAGTGACGACGTGCTGGTCTATTTGTGTTTTTCATCACATGTAACCTTAACATAATGTATACTATTAACAATATAAATATATAAATATAATATTTGAAAATTTATAATAAAATAATTTCTTATCGCATTGTTTAAAATATATTCAATTACGTATTTCAAACTTCAAAACTTACCACGTTTCCGCAAACCTTGCTGAATACTTCTTCTTTTTCCAAAGACAGCTCTGGATGATTTTTAATTCACACGGACACCAAATGATAATTCACTTTCATCATCGGACGCTCGGACAGCAAATAAAATGTTCAAAATGCTAATGAATGGATCAAAAATACGCGATTTTATGCTCGAAACTATGTACAAAAGCTGCATTCTATGCGAAATATGTATTTTTTACATCGTTAATCTAATTATTTCATTCTGAAACGGGTATATCCAAAATATTGGGTAGATATTCCTAATAATAAAAAAGATGTTATTTACGCAAAATCCTAACTGTACTTTGAAAATTAATTGTCTTCAATTCCCCACCATTATTAATATCTATTTATGTTTAAGGCTCCTTAATTAGGGCATTTTAAATTAAATTTAAGATTTTTTAGGGATTTTAATCTTGCCATATATGGAACGTTTAATTCGCTAGTTCATTGTATTTGTAATTTTAACATTACAGTTATTCAAACATGGAAGTTACGGGTACTGCTTTAACAACCGAAGTGCGACTTGACACATAAATCGACCTTAACAGATATTTCGCAGTGCTGTTTAGTAATCGGGAAATTGCAGTTTTACATCTTCGAACTAACAAAATTAAATGCGTTCCCTACGAAACCACTGTCAGGATAACTTTTATTTAATATGGCTTCATTTTTTCCCTCCATAACTATTTTTGAAACGCTTAGATAAATTACGCGTTTGAAAATGCACAAGAAATCAGCTCGCATCAAATCAGCTCTTTTCTACAATTTGACAAATCAAAATGCAATGCATATTTAATTTTGTCTAAATCGTTAGCCCTTGTCCTTAATTTAACAAAAAACTCTCTCTGAGTGTATATGTACATATTACCCTCGTTGCCAAGAAAAAATGTTTAAGCAAAAGCGTCAGTTTATTGAAACTGACCGCTAATGGAAGCTGTACGTCCTTCGACACAAATAATATACAAAACGTCCGGAACGTTGATTATCGACATCGAGGTTAACGCTAGGGGTCACTACCATATATGCTGACAATGTAAAAAAGAAAATCACAGCGTCACGCAATTGTCGATAACAAACGAATGGACAATTTATTTTAAGGCATTTAATTTTTTAGAGTTTCGACTGTATTTAAAATGATAAGGAACATAAAAATTATTAAACATTGGCATTTTTTGAACATAATTATCTTAATTAATAAAAGCTAAAAACTATTCAAAATATCGACCACTTTCTGTAACGCACCATCTACACGCAGTTTTAATCCTCCCCCGAAGCTTTCAGAATAACAAGAGGTTGCCTTCGCAATCTTTGAAAAGTTGCCGCGGAGCTCGCCGATTTTAATTTTTCAATATGTTAGGCCCATTAGTATAATACGACCAAAAATATAGTGCATTTATTGCTTTGACGTTTTAAGTATTTTAGAGTACCTTAACCGTAAACGGAACGGCGATAAAATCCATCCCAACACCATTAAGTAGTGTCCGACTAGAACAAGACATGCAAATAAAAAAAAAACACCCATTTGTCTTCGGATGCGAGACAAATTGTTTTCAATTGTTTCAATTTTATAAGAAATTCAGAAAGGGAAGTAGAAGCAGCAATAAAAACAAGTGACATGACCAATCAACTACAAGAAAAATTATTGCAAATGGTGATAGTCGAGAGGAAAGTACGACGTACGACGATTACGACGCTTATAAAGTAATATCATTTTAACCCCAAAAGAACTGCATAAAAAAGTGCTGACAGCCTTAAACATTACATTTGCCAAAGAGTTGCTGCGTACTTTTTTGAAGAAATAGGATAAACGTGACAACAGTAGCGATAGTGACGATTCTTTAAGTGACCGATACTTAATTACTATTATTATGTTTAATACTTTGTACAATAATAATGATACTACGTAGAAATGTAATAAAATAGAACGTAATAAATTGTTACTTTGTACTATTTTTTTTATGTACGTGTTTCAAGAATTGCTCGGCGAAAAAGTTTAAAAAGATACTTACATCCCGTATATTAGTGTAGGTAGATAAATTCCTAGGACGGTCCTGGAATGGTTACGGGTAAGGGTCTGCTCGGCAGAGTGTTTTATAAGGCGTTGCGGTTTTGGAGTAAAAGGCAAAGTTAATCAAGGGGTCGGTTGTAAAAGCAATATATTTCTGGTCGAAGTATACCTATCCAATTAAAGTAGTTCAAACTTTTCACCGGTCAATTGTAGTCTCATTCTTTGTAGCGTATTTGACAAAGGTATAATTTAAAATACTTTTACTTGGGCAATATTACTGGGTTCTTGGTTTGTTTAATTATAATTATGCTCAGTTTTACTTTTAAATTAATGTTTTCATTTTTACGCAGAATCGTTTGAAAACCCTAATTTCAATTAAATCAATTAATAAAGCAGTATCTTATTTGCCAAATAAGGATAACGTCGACGACCTTATTTACATTTCCTCGTTTTTAATTACACCCGTGTGTCAACAGCAAATATATATAGCCTTCGCTATTTGCATACTCGGTGATTTTTTTCTAGGTTAGATCACAATGACACTAAGGTAGACAACCTGTCCGATAAATTTTCCGTATGCCCCAACCTGGAAAAAAACCATAGACTTTTTGATTATTTTTTTATTGCGATAAAGTCCATTATTATTAAAAATTGCTATCTTCCTTCCTCACTTATTAAAAAACACTCCGTATACAGGGCGCATTCTGCATTAGTGACATTAATCACCTTTTTTGAATTAAAACTCTCATTACTGAACAATTAAATAATTAAGTGATACACTTTTGACCCATGAAAAATGAAAAAAAAAAATGGAACAGACGAAAAAGTTTCTAAATAAAGCATAAAATAAAAAAAAATATACATATCTGCGCCATTCATGTTAAAAAAAATAAAAAATATGTAAGAGTGATACTTTTTTAAAAGATAGAAAAATATTATAAAAACGTAAAATATCACTTCACCAGATAAAATCTTAGCCAGCAGCGAAATTATCTTTTTCAGTTTTATCGAAAATTATTACGAAACGTAAACGTGCAAACTGGCTGAAACTGTGAA